GACTAGCCCAGTGTACTCCAACCTCAGTCTTGGCGATCTGTGAGGCAAAATTGCGTATCATTGGCTGAGTAGGTGGTAAGCCTCTATCTGTTAGTCGATTGATATAGGCGATTAGGGCCTGCTCCTGCTGTGGGTGGAGGAGCTGCCGTTTTTGGCCACCTATCGCGCGTGAGGCGTGTAGGCCTTGGTGTCTTCGGGTAAGCGTAGATCGAACAACACTATATTTTTTGCAATATCTGTATACGAAAAAGGCTCATCAGGTCCTAGGGCATTAATAGCTGCAAGCGCAGCCTCAATATTAGCCATGGTGGTGGGGATACGACGCGTTGAGGTTGAGGTGGTTGTAAGGCGCGCGCGCACTTTGTGGTCGCGCGCACTTTGTGGTGGGGCTAGTTAACCCGCATTACGTAAAGCTGTTTATCACTCTAGCAAATAAACTGTCCAAATTTCAAGACCATGTATGATGACAAACAGAAACCCTCAAGATATTTCTCTCCCATCCAACTCTATCAGAACGCTAACATGCAAACATTCCAACTGAAAGACACAAAGTCCTTAAAGAAAAAACAAGCATTGAACTCGTGCCATCTCGCTCACACGTCGCATGTCTACGACCTAACAAATCCCATATCGGATCTGACACTTCAATCTCAACAAGCATTTAGTATCCCTGACCTCTCCTTCCAGCCATCACTTCATCCCTCCTTTCTCTCAACCTCTCCGACCAACCCTCCTTTTATCCCCTCCTACCGACTAGGACTCCAAGCATCTGCATCCCCCCATTTATCCAAGACCAATCCCGCACTACCAGGGTTACGATACCCAGCCTCCAATTGCTTCTCGTAGCTCACACGTCGCAGCCTCTCCGTCTCCCTCGGCGTCATGCGAAGATAGACCTCGACGCCTACGACGTGCAGAAAGAGGCATACCCAGAGCTAACCCACCTCATTGTCAGTCACATATGAAAAGTAGCCACACATCCTAGCAATCGAAATAAAATAAAAAGGGCAACTCACCATCGTTCCGAACGAAAGCACATAGCTCGCGCCCAGCTGCTCCAGCTGTCCCGGCGTCTCAGCCGCCTTGACCACAACGCGCTTCCAGCGGTCCAAGTCTCCATTTGGCAAAAAGCACCCTGGATAAGTCTGACTTGGAAACGGCAAATCGTAGTTCTTGTACAGAAACCCAATCTCGTCGCACATCCACACAGCCCAGTAGTTGCCGAGGCGGGTAGTAATCTGGCTGGCACCGAGGTTGATGAGGCGCGCTGAAATCGTAACGCCCATGTAGAACATGGTGCGCAGCATCCAAGCGCGGTGCTGGTCGACCTGCTTGCAGCGGATGTTCCACCAGGCGAGTACTATACCGATAGTCGTCGAGATACCCATGAGCGTCTCGACGGCGTGGCTCGTCGTGCGGTTCCCGCCGGCCTTGTGCCGGATGACGACGAAAGCCGCGGCGTTGCTGATGAGACAGAGGAGTAAGACGACATACCCGTTTACGCGGTGGAACATGAGGAACTTGTGGCGCAGCACCGGCGTGAACTGAAGTACCATGAGTATGCCTGCGGGCAAGATACACGCCAGATGGATCAGCATCCCGTAGCGGTAGGCGCCCGCGTGGAAATAGTACCAGTACCCCGGGACGAGAGCAAAGCTGTGCTTGAAATGGCCGTCGTAGTCGAGGTCTTTGAGGCGCGACAGTGAGAAGCCGAGCATGCCTCCGGCGAAAATCACCCCTGTTCACATTACTCTATCAGTCACTGCTCTTCTCTCTCTTCTTCGGCAGTATCTGCGGAATCGTAGGACTGCAAGGGGTCGGCACTTACACAGCGGGAAATTATACCCCCGGTTGAACCCAAAGAAGCCATATACCCGCCGATACCTAGCGGCATGTCCGCTGGTACCTCGCCCATTCTCCTTGCTGGCTTGGCTAGCTGTGCTCGTTGCAACGCTACCATCCTGCGTCGAACAACCCGCTGCTGCTTCTTCTTTCGACATTGTCTCGACGGGAGACGCGCAGCGTACGCTTCAAAGCACGATTCAATCCACGGCAGTAAAACAATAAGAGCACCGAGAAGCTGGTCGAGCGTCCTGGATAGCGTGAAGTCGACGATCGACATTGTCGTAGGACAAAACTCAATTGCAAGAAGAGAAACTGGTATTTATACACGAGATATGCGGGCGAGCACATGTGACCAGCGCTTTTTCCTCGCTACCAAGCAGGATTCCAAGCTCGACAAAAGTGGAGTCTCCGTAGTGGTCCTCGGAGCCTCCAAGCAAAAAGCCCACGGAGCTTGTTTCTCAGCGTACATTGCTGTCGTTCGGGTTCTTGGTATACTCTGTATGCGAGCTAATGCACATGCACGACATGCATGTCCCGTGTATGTGTGGGTGGATGACATTCCGGCATATACTGACCCCTATGAGAGTACAAAACCCAACTTGCCCCCGGACTCCGATCATCCCCCCACGCAAGTGTTCCAGAAGTCCATTGCGCACTAGCATGCATGCATAGGCTGGCCATGTGGCAGGTGCATTTGGGGGATCGAAGATCTGAAGCCAGTGGGTTACATATCCCTCCCTTTAGTTGCATATGCATGTAGCTTCGGTACCTGCGGAGAGGACTGAATGGAGACCCTTGCAGGCGTGTGTATATGCGGGCTTTTTGGATTCTCGCCAAGACCCCGAGAATTCAATGCAGGTGTGACTGCATATCGAGGTTACTGGTCTAGGGGTGCTGGGGGGAGGAAGCTATGGGCGGAGTTTGCGGCTGGTTTGCGTTAGGGGCTGAGTGGAATGAGTGGCTTGGATATGCACATCTCGCCAATTTTGATGCTCCGAAAAACTTGGAGATGGGAAAATAATGGTTCAGCTACAGTTGCAAAAAGTGATGTTGCTGGTTTCGCGCGTAGTTTGTGTATGGTTATCGCGCAAAGTAAGTCGTTGGTGGCTCACGTGATGCCGCATCAACTACGTCTGTAATCGACAATGACGTTGAGATGCGGTTTTGAATAAAATAAGTTCCGCGGCTAGGTATCTACTTATTTGTCTTTCCTTCTGCGAATCGAGTTCCGCTGCCTCGAGATTAATCATGGCGCGAAATCGTCCTTTTCTTCGCCACTCAACTTCAGCCAATCTTGTAGTCTTGGTTGCCAAGCCAACTGCATGTAGTAGATAAGATCAACCATCTGAAAACGTTAGCTAGAAAGTTTCAACCTAAAACTCCGCAGCACATGGTAATATGGAAATCCCTAGTTTGTAAAGAATGTTTATAATTGTTCTATATCCAAGACATGTAGTCCTAAAAAGCGCGACCCACCTAATACCCAAAGCAGCATAGATCTGCGCAATGCCACTGTAAGGAGAAAAAAATACCTAACACCCAACACTTGCCTTCGAAATCAACCACGAACGGCTTCGTAAGAGAAAAGAGGAAATACTGCTCAAGAAATGCGCTTGCTACCATTACTTTGTGTTCTTGTAAACACTGTCTTCATAACCGTATATCGAGGCATCCAATTAAGCCATAGCTGCGACTTGCCCACCGCCTACTTTGCGGAACTGTGTAGGAATTAGTATGAAATCAATATGTATGAGGGAACGATGGAACTTACACCAAGGAAGGGGGAGAGAAGCGCTGTGATACCAGCTGACAGGATGATCATAATGTAAACATTGCTCATCGCATCGACAATAGCGACCACAAGCTTGGCCTGGATGTCTTCGGAGAAGCTCTGCCACTCGGTGCCACTGGCTCCAGCAAGGATGACGCGCGGGTCTCCGCTGAAGTCTGCGGGCAAGAGAGGGGCAGTGTATTTGGCTCCCATGTTCTGGAAGATGCTGCCGCTAAGCGAGGGAAAGAAGGTAATGCCCAGGCACTGGACAAGACTGATGACACCAATGGCGTTGAAGATGTCCTTAGGCTCGACAATGTCGGAGACACAGCCAAAGGCGGTGATCATGAAGCAACCCCCGCCAATACCGAGCAGTACGCTGTATCCGTAGATGGCAGAGACGCTGGTGTCGACTGCGACCGTGTACATGAGAGCGCCTCCCACGACCGCCAGGACAGAACCTACTAGGAACCATGGCATGTAGTAGCCCCATTTGGACATGAAGAAACCGTTGAGAATGGCAACGGTGGAGATCATGAAGACAAAGGGCAGGAGCTTGATGGCGGCATCCACGGGCGACTCACCCCGGGCGAACTGGAAGTATAGTGGGAGGTAGTAGATGGGGATGTATACGGCCGAGGCGGCGGAGAATGTGGCGACTTGCAAGATGCCCAGCTTGAGGTTTCGAAGCATGTGGCTGGGGTAAAGTCGGTTTTCCTTCTCGACGAAGGGGTAGAACTTGTGCGTCAAGATGAAGGCGATGGCGAGCACGACGACAAAGACCCAGAGGATAATCATGCTGTGGGACTCCCACTCGAACAGAGTACCGCCGTAGGTAATGGCCATGAAGAAGGACACGCACCAGCCAGTCCAGATACCCAGTCCGAGCCAGTCAATCTTGCCCAGACGCTCTTTGGCGGTCTGGCCCTTGGCAAAGTCGATAGAAGGCAAGATGAACACTAGGATGGGTCCGGCAATCGCGAAGATCAAGAGGTTAATGTAGAAGCCCCATCGCCATCCGAGGGTGCTTTCTGCGAATCCACCGCCGACCTAAACACGTCGAGTTAGCCATGCACATGCAATGCAGCCAGCCGCGGGAGAAAAACTTACGATTGGGCCCATGACGGTGCCGATTCCCCACGTGGGGGAGATGAGAGCAATGTAGAGGGGGCGTTCCTTGGGGGTCGTCACGACGCTGAAAAAGGTCAAAGAGCCGACATAGATGCCGCAGCCACCAACACCTGCAATCATGCGCCCGACGATCAGGGAGTCCATGGTAGGAGCGGCACCGGAAATGGCGCTGCCAACCTCGAAGCAGACGACATAGCCAAAGTAGAGCCATTTGATGTCAAAGATTCCGTACATCTTGGACTGGATGAGCACTAATGCAGTTGCAGGGAGCGCATAGGCGGTGGCAAGCCACGGGAACTTTTGGAAATCTCCGAGAGACGCAATGATGTTTGGTTGGATGTCTGCTACCACGGTCGTGTCGAGGGCGTACAGGAAGACGCATGACAGAATAGCACCAACGGTCAAGACCCACTTGATGCCGTGGATCTCGCGCTTGTACTCTGGTCCTGCATCTTCGGTTTCGGCATCTTCCGGTGGCTTTTCAGCAAGGATGACGGGGCTCTCGGAACGTCTTGAGGTTGATGATCCTTCTTTGCAGTCACCCAGGCTGCCGGTAAGGGTGGATGCTGTTTCCTTGTCGCTCATTGTGAAGGTTTTAGTGTAGTAAAGTTTGGAAAAGACTATCTCTCAAAAAGAAAGCGTGAAGGGGAATTCTTAAACAGTGTTGTGATGTCGGCTTTTGAGCTTATGTGTTTGTTCTTCTTTGGGAAGTGGAGTGAGTGGGTGATGGAGTTCATGACAGTGAGGCTGTTTGCTTTATATCTATCTCGAACTAGCAAACATAGGCATGGGTGTCTGCCGAAATCACGTTCCGTTATTGGTAAGGTAGAATGGCTAGTGACTCTGCTACGAGCCAACACGAAGCGGCAGTGGTGAAATCGCGCCAAGACATGCAGGTGGGTGACCAGTGTCAGGAGCATAAAAGGGTCCCGCCAAGATGTGTATGCAATTGGAAGACAGTAGGTATGAAAGGACAGTCAGCCGATAGCTGGAAGAGGTGATCGACGGATAGCCTTGTTATTGGATTTCTCTCTTGGTGACAAGTGGATACCGACACTCAGGTACAGCCAGGCTCAGGGCCGCCAGCAGCCAGCAGGATCCCGCCTACAAACAAGCATGAGTGGCTGAATAATGCTCCTGAGGCCCATATCCGCTTGTTGTCGCGCGGATGTGGTTCTCGAATGGAGTTTCAAGAACATTATTCAGCGGTGGCAGAAGATGGACCAATGCCGTGGTAGCAAAGTCCGGCCACGCTAATGCAGCTGGCTGACCATGACGGCCCGCTACGAAACGCACGAGGGGCCGCTATTGGCCGAGGCTGCCATCCCTGTTCCTGCATGGTTTCGAGATTGCCTATTGGTCAGTAGCACGGAGCGCTAACAGCCCGGCATGTCTTGGCACGCTAATCATGCAATAGGCTGACAGTGGGGCGAGTCCCATTCTCCGCATCTTGCACGCTAGCTATGCCAGAGGCTGACCGTTGCCATCTGCGCAAAGTAGAGGTATCTGCATGTCGCCGCCTCTGCCTGAGAATGGGGAATCGTTCGCATTTTACACCTCTACAAAACGGCTTCTTGGCGTGATCTGCAAAACCCGATGGTCGGAAGAATGCCATCTCGTCGCTATCGGAGAGCTTTCTCTTGCCCATTCTGGTCTCCGACTCGGGGAAAGCATCAACACCTGTTTACACCGAGAAGGCGAATCTTGATGCTTTGGAGAGTTGGGACCGAGCAGCAACATGGAGATGGAGGTATTTAATGAGGTGCCATGCGCAGGTATTCTTTCGACATCGCAACATCAACAAGATCGTCTGATAATTCAAAGTCATCCGTTCAACAAAGAACAATCGCTGGCACTTCTTTACAACCAAAACAACCAGCTCCACGAATTTCAGCTGTATAATCCGACAAAATGAGTCCCACTCTTGCAGGAGCCTCTTTGCTCTCGGTCAAAAACTGGGTTGCTGTCGGTGAGTGGCGACAAAGATATCTTTGCCCAAACCCTCCTCTGCTAACTCATTCATTCAACTAGTCACTGGTGGAGGCACCGGAATCGGTCTGAGTACGACCTCGCCATTTAAATCACTTGTACCCCACTGCCGCGGCATCACCCACGCCGCCAAACGCCACGCAACCAATCGGAATCATTGGCCTGCTAACGTTTTTATGAAGTGTACGCACAAGCCTTGGCCGCAAACGGAGCCAAAGTTTACATCACCGGACGACGTCAAGAAGTCTTGGAAAAAAGTGCCAGCGTCCACGGATCTGCAGACAAGATTGGCTCTTCTGGGGGTCAAATCGTCCCTCTTGTTATGGATGTGACCAACAAGGACAGCATCAAGGGTGCTGTCGACCACATCGCTGAGAATGACGGCTATGTTAACGTGTAGGTTCAATTCTGCTTGTGGGAATGCTACTGGGTGAAGCAGCATCGCTGTTCAATGAAAGGAAATCGGCTAGAATGAGCTAATCACATCACTAGACTTGTTAACAACGCCGGTGTGTGGACGACAAAGCCCGAGGCGGGTCCTGAAGATGGCCCCGAGAAGTTTGGCAGCTCCATGTTTGACCAGTCTATTGATCTTTGGCAGCAAGGTACTTCTTCGCCAGCTCCAGTATGATACGGCACGTACCACCCGATACTGACTATTATTCCAGCTTTCCTCGTCAATGCTACCTCCATCTACTTTGTTACAGCAGCTTTTGTGCCACTGCTGGCAAAGTCCGTCTCCAGCCCCATTGGCAAAATGGGCAGCGTAATCAACACCACCTCCAACAGCGGTCAGCTTAGAATGTAAGTTTCTCATCTGTATGTGCGACCTGGCAAATATACTAACAACTTGAAGGTCCGAGGGCTCGCAGCTGGCCTACAATGTAATTCGATACCACCAACCCTTCAACTTCATGCATTAGAACTTACAATACTATTAGGTTAGCAAGGCTGCTTCTGTGCAGATGACCCGCCAACTGGCCTTTGACTTTAGCCACGACAACATCAAGATCCGCGTCAACGGCATTGCACCAGGTACTTCCAAACTACATCCACCATCACCAATCCTGTGTTCGAGAAAGTACAAAATAGCTAACAATGATTTTGCCAGGCTGGTTCCCCTCGGAAATGACTACTGGAGGTTCAGACGACAACAACGAGAGCGCCTCGCAGGAAGACACCGCGTTCCAGAAGGAGATGAGCGACATTGGTGCCCGTGTGCCTCCTGGTCGCATGGGCAAGTCGGAGGACTTGGCAAGCGTAGGTTTTAGACAGTCCCCCAAAACACCATTTTGCTTACTGACTGTTCTTGCCAATAGGGTCTTCTCATGCTGGCTACGAACGACTACATCTGGGGCATGAATCTGGTGATTGACGGTGGCATCTTGCAGAGCGTGGCTGGAAACATCTAATGTCTTGGATTTCTTATGTACGGGATGCGGATTTACGGTTTCTATGGCCTATGTGGGATGGAGCGTTATTGTTGTCAGTTCTGTGTTTTTTTTCTTTTCCTATCGCTTAATTTGAGAATAGATTCAGTTATTTTTTTAAGCATTTCATACCATGGTGATAAGCATCAGTGCCGAGCATCTAGAGATTTGCAAACCAGGTTCGTTTTTTTTCCACGTGGTGATCATCAGAGACCATGTGGATTCGCACTAATGTACTCTGATAAACAAGCTTTGGGTAATGACATGGCGTGGGAGGCCGAGCCAAGCTGATATCAAGTGTGTCTGGGATGCAGTGGGGTGGCGATCGCGCCAAGTTGGAGTGGAGGTTCCAGTATGCTAGGCGAGTTGCGGACTTGTGGAGTGTGGCTAGTAGTATAGTGGGGAAACTGGAGAAGGGTTCTAGGGCTGGACGTGTATTGGATCTAGCGGCATCCTTGTGGAGTTCTACAGAACCTATCAAGATTAGTGCCAGCTGGGTCTGGTCGTTCGCACTAGCACTACTACTGCTACCCATAAGAGCATCAATGATTGCATTTGGCTTAAATAGTCTCTTGTAAGTAATACACGAGTCCAAGACTATTGTATACTCATTCAAGTCCTTACTGCAGGCAAGTGAGTAATTGTTAAGGCCAAAATAACACACTCTTACAAAGACCACAATTGACATGTTCATTAAGTCGTATCTAGATAGAACATGGACTGTTGCTGAAAAGAGCCCTATGGATATTGAATCTCCGAAATACTTGCAAACAAGGCTGAGTCATGACTCGCCTAACATTGTAGGGGGGCTGGATAACATGTTACCCAACTCGTATTGCAGGAAGAGTCGATTGGTTATTACCCCTGCTGGTTACTGTCGTAACACCATTGACTTTACTAATATAGATACAAAGTATCCTATTTATTGGTGGCTTGTGAGGGCGTGTCTCAGCTCTTGTCAAGGCTGGGTGGGGGCAGCCTGGTTACGCGCCGTGGCTGCAGTCTCGCTCGGGTACACGGTAAATCTCCTTAAACCCATGGGAACATAGCGCTATTCTTTCAATCTTCATCGCACATGGCGCACCATGGCCTCGACATCGCTCTCCGAGGTTATCAAAGCATATTACGACATCGTGAAGGATGGCATCGCGGCGTTCCAAGCCTTCGATGCGCTTTACTCAGGCACTCACACCAATCGCATTGAGTTCTACAAGGCAGGCAACGATCTGAGGAAACAGGCTAAGGCTTTGAAAAAAGATTACAAGAAGGCCTCGGAACTATCTCACAATGTGTGGGCAACTATGCTAGCACGAGGGCCACTGCTTGTTCCCGAAATTCACCAACACGTAAGCAACATTGCCTTGAACTGCTATACTAGCATTACCAGAGTCACTGGTCTCACAAAACAACTCAAAACTGCGCCTGCATCAATTGAATCATCCAGCGTTGGTGCATGGTCGAAAGAGCTACAGCGACAAATTGAAAACTTGAATGCTGTTAAATTTGTCCTTGAACATGCTAGGTAATCACCTCCAATACCTTACACTAAGTTCATCAACTCATACTCGTAGGGATACTCCTAAATCGCGACGGGAAAAGTTCCGAGAACAACTGCTACAACTTCCAAAACTCGAATACGCGTCAGATGCGATTCAAACTGGATTCAATACATACGAAGAGGTCGCTGGACCATCCTTGGCTCCCCAGCAACCGGAGATATCTGCACCCAATTCCAGGTGGGTCTCAAGAAAGGAATGGTCTAGGAAACTCACCAGCGCGGCAGCCAGCAATAGCGTGAAGCTCATGGAACATTGTATTGCTAAAGGAGCAGACATCAACCACCAATCACGCTCCAAGACGCCCAAGAATAAAGGAATGGCCGCGATTCATGTGGCTGCTGACCACGGCCACTTCCAGGCTCTGGAGATGCTCGTCACCCACGGAGCAGACATAAACGCAATCACACCCAGGCGGTACACCGCATTGCACATAGCTGCCCGGAATGAACACTCCAGATTGGTACAGTATCTGATTAAAAGCAAAGCCGATCTCAACGCAAAAGACGAATCGGGACAGACACCATTGATGGGATCCAGCCCAGCTATACATATCATCCTCCTCAAGGCCGGAGCAGATCCAAATATTCCTGGGTACGACGTTAACACCGCTCTTCACTACGCTTGCTATTATGGATGGGTCGACGTTGTCCAGCAACTTATAGCTTGTGGCGCCGACGTCAACGCCTGCAACAAGAACGAGCAGACACCACTGTGGCTCACCTGTACAGACTCCAGCGCGTCTCTCATCCACGCCATCGAAATAGCCAAGATACTCCTCGCTGCATCAGCATCATCCAACGCCATTTCCAAAATCGGTGCTCGGTCTCCATTCCACGAAGCCATCCGAACAAAAAGGTTCCAGCTTGTAGCGTTGCTTCTCGAGAACTGCGCAGACGTCATGTTACCAGCCGCAAACAACTATTTTCCGCTTCACATGGCGGCTACGCTTCCGGAGACAGATATCCTGGAATTACTGATACCGTGTTATGAAAACATTGATATCCGCGGTACCGCGCACGACAACACTGCTTTCCTGCAAGCAATCATCGCAGGCCAGAAGGACAATTCAAAAATGCTGCTTGCCCACGGAGCGAGCCTGAAGCAGCGCACTGGGAAAGGCGCTCTCGCGCTGCAGGGCCCACTTCACCACGCATTCCAGTCCGGAAACGCAGATCTGGTAAAATGGCTAATCGACGAGTACCGGACCGCCAATCTCACAATACGCGAAGTCGATAGCGAGGAGAGATACCCCATACACTGTGCTTCTACACCCGAAGTCGTGGACTGCTGGGTGAATGCTGGAGGAATGCTCAAAGTAAGGGATAAACAGGGCAACACCCCATTACATGCACTTGTCACACACGCAAACATCAATGTTGTAAAACGACTGGTGGAACACGAGGCCAATGTCAAGAAGAAGAATAAGGCAGGGCTGCTGCCGATCGAACAGCTGTGTCTCGACGAAAAGGCCTGGTTATCTGGCACTTCGGATGGGTCGTGTGAATCGGACAAGGTTCGATTGGAGGTGCTGCAGTTTCTTCAGGGGTTCATGTGAAATACACGGAAATGCAGAGAGCTGGTTGATCGGTGGGCGAATGTCGAGCTGCGAGAACAGATGGAGCGGTGTTTTCCTCGTGCAGGGCTGCTGTCGAAAGGTGTTGAGTACGCTGGTTCTTTGGTGCCAGTTTGAGAAGACTTTTGCTCGATTTGGACATTGTGATGGTGTTCCATCGGCGTTATGGTCCTACTACCACGCTACTCGATGATTGTGGCTGCTTTGTTTCTTAGACGTAGCTTGTTTACTGTTGCGAAAGAACAGCTGTGTGTTTAAAAGATGACTCGATTAAGCAATTGATTGCATTCTATTCTTCTAAGCGATATTGACTTTTACAAGAAATCTTAGGCCTGCTCTACCCTAAGAACACAGAAACTCCAACATATATATCACACAAAGTATCTATAGTACTTCGGTCTCTAGAATATTGAGTTCCTCAAACTCTCCAGTATTTCAATCCGTCTCCGTTTCATGTTCATATCATCGTACCGTACATCCCCACACAAGCCAGTAGCTTGCAGCACCGGGGCTGAAACTTGCGCTGAATTGAGCGCGGTGATAGGCTATGTGTGTCCACAAGCGGCCCATGGATGATAATAGTCGGAAATGCTCCTCGTCGGCTGAGGACTCGGCTCAGTTACATCTCCAGCCCGCGACTTACATATCAGGGTGGAACATCACCCAAATCAAACTCGTCCCTAGTACTGTTGAAATCACGGTGCGCCTTCGCTTCGGCGTCTTGAATCTCTTTCGACCATTCACTGGAGAAGGCGTACTGTCGCTGTTGTATTGTAGCCAGTTTGGGCTTCAACGTCGTTTAGAACAGTCCAGATTCGCGCTTTTCGTGAGATTCCATGGATATGTTTACCAGCTGTATCACAGTGTGGTCAGTCTCAAGTACAGACTGGAAGCCAATGAACTCGTTGCAGTGACATAGTACGTACCATAGAATAATCCATAAGTGGAGAACACCATCAAAGAGGGAGGGAATTCCGAAATTGCTATATCAGCAACTTTCATGGCCTGCTCCTGGATCAGAGGGATGTAGGCCTCATCCTGCAGTACTGGTTCTGCGTAAAGCAAGATGTGTATGAGGTGGTAACCTAGCAAAATCAGCACATGTCAAGCAATTGTCATGGAGAGAACCAAACGTACAAAACGCCGCGCCAGCAGCGGCAGCGACTGGGAAATATACTTTACGGAAACCATCTTCATCGTTCTCGCCGTATGGAATTCCAACAAAAGTCTCGGAGAGACCTCTTCGCCACAGTTCAATTTCATGCAGCAATTCTTGCCGTTGTATTCTGCCAGCTTCTGTGTTGCCGTCCGGTCCAAAGACAAGGTTGATAACTCTTGCCGATATCCAAAGGACATGGTTTCCGAGCACATCCTCTCTCGTCTCGCCTTCCTCCCAGGAGACTTCCCATTCGGCAGGATCAAATATCAATGGCTGCTCATTTGCCATGGCAACGACGAGTTCATGGCGAACGTAAATCCAGAAGTTGGCGACATCAGTTCCCGTCGACTGTGCAGTGATCCGTCGGGCTTTGACGAGGCACGTAAGGCCTCGAAAGTGTTTTCGATAATCTTCTGACCGCAGCGCCTCGTGAAGCTCATAGCTCAACAGCAGCAGACTTGCCGTCAACACATGTTCCTGTGATGTCATATTGAGAGCATCAATCAATAGACGTAATGCCTCGCCGTAATGCCTCACGGCACAAAGTTTCCACGACGGTTTATTGCTAGAATTTGAGAGTGCTAAATGGTTGGCTGTGAATGCACACACACAGTGGAACAGCAGTGGAGATGTTAGGGCAAGCTGCGGAATCTTGAGCTGGTAGGTAGAACCGTGGTCGAAGACGTCCATCCAGGTGGCAACGGTGCGTACATATGTCTGCAATAGAAAAGCGCCTTCTGAGGTTAGTCGTACTTTTGGTTTTGGATGATCTTTTCCGACTGATGCAGCAGGCGATAGTCTATTTGCTGGTATGTAGCTCTGAGGTGACGGTAGATCCTCGGAGAGGTCCAGATCATTCATCCTTAGCTTGAAAACGTCCACAAGCAATGGCGCATCGCTATTCACCTCGTCGGCTGATGAATTATTGTTTAGAGTGCTCCATGTGTTTTTCTCTCGTCGCTCGCACTTGAGTTGAAGGCGTTCACAGTTTCCACAAACAGGCTTTTTTTCGTCGCAACTGGTATGCCTCCGCTTGCACGTGATACTGGTTGAGTCAAATTAGCTGATTGACATGGATACAGCATAATACGCAACGAACCAGCCTTATCGTCATTAGTCTGCCCGGACAATACTTTGACTTTGATGATGCATACCAGTTCTGCTTCGTGGCCCACCTCTTCGCTTTTTCTTGAGCCCAGTATCGCCGGGCATCTTCACCACTAACGGCTCCAAACTTGGACTTATAATACTAGAGCAAAAAGAAAAGGGTGTTGGGGAGTTGATGTTACTTTCGGTAGAGTGCGGAGTTCGGGAGCAGTGCCTAGTAACCTGCATGGACGCGCAATGACCCAGGACGCGCAATGACCCACCCCACCAAACTCAACACCTACACAAAATACCTCATAACTCCACCAATATGGACCCGATTCAGGAAGCGATTGAAGAAATCGAATCGCGCGAACTAGGCGCATCTTTCAGCTATCGCCAAGTTGCAAAAAGGTTTGGCATTAGCTATCGTACGCTCGCTCGAAGACACCAAGGCAAAACTCAGCCTCGCGCGCTCGCCCACCTCTCTATCCACCCACAACGCGAAAAGGAGCTTGTACAGTACATCGAATCCCTCACTAAGAGGCGTACACCACCTTCGCGTCCAATAATACGCCATCTTGCGTCATCCTTGCTTAGTAGAGACGTTTCAGAACGCTGGGTTTCTAGGTTCCTCTGCAGAAACTCCTCTCATCTCATCTCTCGCTGGCAGAGTCCTATGGACCAGAAGCGTCACAAGGCTAATTCAGCAACCAAGTATAGGTTGTACTTTAAGCTGTTACACAATAAGATAAAGGAGTACAATATACAGCCCTCTCACATCTTCAATATAGATAAAAAGGGCTTCTTACTTGGAATCCTTAGAAGGTCTAAAAGGATCTTTAGTAAGAGGCAATATAAAAGAGGAGGAGTTGTTTCAAGCCTACAAGATGGCTCTAGAGAGTGGATTACAGTCCTAGCCTGTATCTGCTCAGATGGTACACCTCTTTCTCCATCTCTCATCTTTTAGTCAGATGCTGGAGCTCTAAAATCAGCCTAGGTAGAGGCTATTAATCCAAACAAGCACTTAGTCTTTGTTACCTCATTGCCCTCTAGATGGACTAACAATGATATAGGCCTAGCTTGGCTTAAAGAGGTCTTTGAAAGAGAGACTGCACGCTACGCTCGAACTGGGTACCGGTTACTCATTGTTGATGGCCACTCATCTCATGTAACCATAGATTTTCTAGATTATTGCAACAGCCATAGGATTCTAGTTGCTGTATATCCTCCTCATTCGACCCATAGGCTTCAGCCTCTTAACGTTAGGATGTTTGGGCCTCTAGCGTCAGCCTACTCAAAGGAGTTGTCAAACTTCCTCTATTAGAGCCATGGAATCCTTCCTCTAGCAAAAGGAGACTTCTTTAAGCTCTTTTAGAGGGCTTGGGGTACAGCTTTTAGAAAGGAGACTATTATAAGCTCCTTTAAGGCAACTAGCATTAACCCACTAAATGCTAAGGTTATTCTCCAAAAGTTCCAACAAGAGGCCTCTAGTTCAGATGAAAGCTCTTCTTCTGTCCTTAGTAGAGATGATTGGCTCAAAATTAAGTCTATTATACGCCAGGAGGTGAAGGATTTTAATAATAAGGAGGTAAAAAAGCTTCGCCGAAGCCTCCATCACCTCTCAGCTCAAAATAGTATACTCAAAGGAGAAAACCAGGGCTTAAGGGAGGCTCTAAAGGTCAAAAAGAGACACCAAAAGAAGAGCTATACGCTTCAACTCAATAGGCCTGAGGAGTACCATGGAGGAGCTGTCTTTTGGTCTCCTAAGAAGGTTCGCCAAGCCAAGGAGGATGAGATGGAACGACAACAAGAACAACAGCAATTACAACTCCAGAAAGCTGAGAGATCTGAGTTAAGGAGACAAGCTCAATTTTACAAGCTTCAAATAGCCCAGGAGAAGCGTGTTGAGAGAGAGAGGCTCAAGGAGGTGAGAGAGAAGGAGAGAGCCGCCAAGGTGGCTCAAAAGGAGGCTCAAAAGGCAGCCCGGGAGGCTGAAAAAGCTATACAATTATCCCAAAGGGGTAAGCGCAAAGCCTCACAAGGCTCCTCTCAAAAGCAGAAGCGTCAGAAACGTGTTGTTGTTGATTCATCTCATGTACAAGCTGAGGTGGCTGCACTAGCCGTCCCAACTCGGACCACCCGCCACGGCCGCACCACCAAGCTACCAAGTAGATACAAGTAGCCTATCATGATCGCAATGCTATAATTACTACAACACCATGAAATCTCGTGATAATAGCGACTGTGGGTGGCTGTACAGCCTCATCTTTTGCAATAGGTTTTTTGGTGGGGTGGGTCATTGCGCGTCCTGGGTCATTGCGCGTCCATGCAGGTTACATGTTTGGATTAAGTAGCCGAGCCATCGCGTGTTCACGTGCAATACACTGTTTTTGTATCCATCCGGCATATTACAGTACTGCATCGAAAGTTTCGCCCCAGCCTTGTCGATTCCCACCAAGAATCGTGATTACTCACTGGAATATACTCGTTTAGTCGCAGTATTTATCTCTAATCACTCTTTACGTAACTAAGAACATTAAATATAAGAGATAAATATATGAGAATATCATTCATTGCATATTACATGCAGAGAGAATATTGTGAGTCCAAAAGCAAAATACAGTTTTGTAGACAGAATAGCTCCAAAAAAAAACTCAAAAAATCACCAGAATTAGGATTTTAACATGGGAATTGGGAGGAGATCGAGATCGAGATCGAGATCTCTAAGATCGTACTGCTAATTCTGTATACTGTAATGTTCTCTAAGGATGACTGGAGTGCGGTGAGCATGACTTTAATACCTGGGGCTTTGATCACGTATTTTTCTGTAATAGGACTAGACTAAACTATATGATACGATTGGAAAAGTAGCTGTGCGGTGAAGGGAGTTAGGCCTGCGACCATGAAGGAAATCAGATGATATTGGCCGCTACCGTATTCACAGACCATTCAAGTGCAGCTAGAATAGGCGTTCTCTGCGCATATTACATTTCAACGCATTGTTCGTATGTTGCTCTTACAGAAACATATACCCACTAAACGCCTTGGAACCTGTCAAGTCAGTAAATGGGAAATCGAGTCTGCTCCGAGAAACATGTACCTACCAGCATGACAAGAAATCGCCATGGCTTGATCTCGAAATAACAGGCTTTCCCCAGTCATATGTAACGGAACATATTGTTTCGCACGCTCCTCTTCATAGACGCGGGCTTCCCATCTTCATATTCGACACCAGCTGCTCCTCCCTCGCTGTCATGCGCTTGCAACTTTGCCATGAGCTCGGCATCAAGCTCCGCTTGCGTCTTCTTCCTGGGTTTCAACTCTTCAGAAGACTTTTCATCTGGCTTTTGAGAGTCGCCACTGGCCGGGTTCGAGGACTTGGAGCTTGAGTCTGAGTAATTCCTGGTGGAGCAGAGCATTGTCCTGCTTGAGGCACGTAAATAGTGTGTGGTAGGAGAAAGAAAGGAGATTCGGTGGTGAAGTTGTCGTAAAAGCGCCATCTTCAGGGGGATGGACGGCTGTCAATGGAGTGAACTGGCAGCAATATGAGGATAATCGTGCTTTTACGTCACTGTGACCGCGTCCACCATGAGCACATGAAGCACGGGACGGAAGCGTATTCAAATGATATGAACCTATAGCCAGCCCGTATCTCACGGAGCGTGCAAGTTTCTACTACCGCCATTGCCTTTACAAAATTATTGATTTCTTGCTTACCCAAACGTCGTGTTGCTCGTCCGGCGCAGATGCTGGGTTTTGCCAAGACGCTAGTGTCTGCAGCCCTTTGAACTTTGAGATGCTCGCGGTCGCATTCGACTGCGCGCGCCATCCCACCATTTTTCCCCAAAGCCATCCAACATGGTCGTCACGTCTTCCTGGTCGAACGTCGAGGACGAGGTGCTGAAGGCTGCCATTAGTAAATACGGCTTGAACCAGTGGTCCCGATGCGCATCTCTGCTTGCGAAGAAGAGCGCGAAGCAATGCAAGGTACGCGCCTTTACACTGGAGCCTGGTTGTTTCTGGATACTAACGCTGGACAGTCAAGATGGCAAGAATGGCTGGATCCGTCGATTCGCAAGACGGAATGGGACCGCGAGTCGGACGAGAAGCTCTTGACCATGGCCAAACTCCTGCCAACCCAATGGCGAACGATTGCGCCCATCGTCGGACGAACAGCCACACAGTGCCTTGAGCGATACCAAAAGCTACTCGACGAACAAGAGGCGCGCGAGTCTGGCGATCTGGGACTGGCGGGTCCAGACGGCGGAGAGTCCGCTGCTCCCTCTGCAGAGGATGTCCGACGGCTGCGGCCCGGCGAAGTGGATGCCTATGCCGAGAGTCGCCCTGCCAGGCCAGACGCTGTGGATCTAGAGGATGAAGACAAGGAAATGTTATCGTATGCATCCCACACCCATTTGACGACCACAACTAACTGATAATAACAGAGAGGCGCGTGCGCGTTTGTCCAACGTCAGCGGCAAGAAGGCCAAACGAAAGGCCCGTGAACGACAACTCGAGGAATCAAGAAGGCTGGCGTTGCTCCAGAAGCGACGAGAGCTCAAGGCAGCTGGCATAAACATCAAGATTACCCCGAAGAAAGGCAACCACATCGACTACAACGCCGACGTCCCGCTCGAGAAGGAAGTTCCCGCTGGCTTCTTCGACACGACGGAAGAAATTGACCGCAATGAACGACAACGAGAGGCATTCGACCCACGGAAGCAGCAACTTGCGAACAAGAGGAAGATGGAGGCGCAGGAAGACGGCGGAGGCGAGAGAAAGAAGAAGAAGGACGACAAGGCGGGAGGTCTGGCTGCGTCGTATGCAAAGGCTGCGCAGATGCAGAGAATACGCGAGGCGGAGCAGAGCAGCAAGCGACGCGCGCTGGTGTTACCAGCTCCCCAGGTTGGAGAGGCCGAGCTTGAGGATATTGTCAAGATGGGAGCCACTGGCCAGCGCGCAATTTCTGCAGGCAGTGGCGACAACGCTGCAACTCAAGGCTTGATTGGAGACTATTCGAGCATTGTTGGCAACACACCAATCCGAACCCCAATGGCGCCCAAGGAGGAAGATTACGTCGCAAACGAGATACGAAACGCTCGAATGCGGACCGAGACGCAGTCGGCTCTGCTCGGCGGAGACAATCCAGATCTCATCGAAGAACAAGCGCCTACTTCACTATCTGGGCCCTCTTCACGGCATCAGATTGTAACCCCGAACCCGATGGCAACGCCCTTCCGGCAAGCCAATGGTGGCGCAGGAGCTACACCGATGCGAGGACCTGGGGCCACGCCCATGCGAACACCGCGAGACACACTGCGCTTAAACGGGGAGGAAGACGGCATGCAGCTGGTTGGCCAGACACCTCGCGATATAAGGCTGAGAGAGCAGGCGAAGCGTCAAGACCTGAAGAGCAAACTTGCTTCGCTGCCAAAACCCAAAGAAGAGAGTTGGGAGTTTGAGTTGCCAGAGGAGCAGGCTGAGCCGATGGAAGTGGAAGTCAGCGAGGAAGACGCGGCTGAGCGGGATCGGAGAGCTCGCGAAGCTCGCGAAGCCCAAGAAGCGGCAGAATTCGGGCGGCAGACTCAAGTTGTGCAAAGGTTCCTCCCGCGACCATCACTCATCGACATTGACGCCATGATGAAGCGTGCACTCGACCTATCTGATCCGGTAGAGCGCGAGGTCGAAACGGAGATGGCCAAGCTCATTGCAAACGACGTCAAGAAGTTTGGCAATGGTCGCGTCACCGGCACGGCACAACGACTCGAGTCCATGTCCGACGATGCCCTCCGAAATGCAAAGATGGAGCTTGCTCTCGAGCTTGCCTTGGCTACAGACAAGGAAAAGAAGGCCTTTTGCTCTGATGTCAACGCCTCGTGGACCACACTCCACGGTTCGACCATCCTTCCCGGCATCGCAGGCTACGAAGAAGACGAGATTGACGAGCACCAACTCATGGTCGAAGCCTTTGACAGAGCCCAAGAAGCCATCATCGATGCTGCTGAGCGCGCAAACAAGATTGAAAAGCGTCTTACCACACACCACGCGGGATACGTCAAGCGCTCTGCTCTACTAAGAGAGAAGATTGGCGGTGCTTTCGCAGCGCTCGAAAAGGCAAGAGACAATCTCAACACGGCGCGCACAGCTCAGTACAACGAGCAGACTGCTATAGAACTCAGATTGGAGAGGCTGCGCGACGAAGTGCAGTTTGTCACCAAGCGAGAGAGAGAGGCGCAGGACTTGTATAGGAGGCGCAAGGAGGAACTGGACAACTTGCAGGTGCCTGTTAATGGCGCACATTAGTTTGGCTATCTTAGCTGATTGTATTATTTCTATGAGTATATCACTTGAGTCGTTGCGATTGCATTTGGATGGCGTTTTTGTTCGATAGTTCCGCATGAGCTGTGGAAGGAAAATACTAGGTAAACTGCAATTCTGAAACGCATAACCAATGACAAACTAAACCTTTCCATTCGTGTTACTTAGATTGTTATGTCGTGTCGTGAAAACATAGAAACTATGCTTGTTAATAAGTAGATCCCTCTCATACCCTAGACGAATATCCTAGTACAACACGCATCATATCAATCTATCAGACACACACACACACACACACACACACATTTTTTTCCCTGCAAAGCACTAAGCTTCATCAACGTCATGGACCCAGATTTCAGAGTTTACAGGACAACGCCATAGCTCGGCCCACATCACGCTACCTCAGCTCAGCTTGGTCTGTCGCAGAAGGCCAAGGGGAGGGGGAACACATGATGATGAAGTACGAAGTGGTAAGTAGCGAATACGCATGCTTGAAAAGTCGTTGAAAGGGAAAAAGAAAGAAACTGGGAGTAGTATGGAGTTGTGAAGTACAACATCATCATTCGTATCTCTCTCTCTCTCTCTTCACACGATGCAGCCTCTCTCATACTTCTCACTTTCTCTATTCCTAACTTCCATATCGAGTTGTACGTATGGACTCGACTTGCATATGTGCCCATCCATGGTATGTACCATGCACGTGGACTTGACGTATCACCTCTCCATCCATCCCTCCATGTCAAAACTAGCCAGCCAGCATAAAACCCAGTAAAAGCGAAAAAAAACGCGTGCAAAACACCTTAGTGAATTTTTTTTGAATCTTCATTCGATAGTATCGCCATCGTGTAGAAGACCTGAAGAAAGACATATATATATATATTTTCCTTCGCAGTACACAGATATCCCAGCTCTATCTAGTTCAAGCACAAATAAAAAAAATAAACAAAGGATGCGTTGGCGATTTAGTAGGGTTTAGATGTGATTTCGTATGTGGATCTCTCGCTGTTGATATAGGTATAGGTACTTGGAGGGGATGTATATGTGGTGGGATGGTTATGTAGATTATACATGCATACAACGGACGTATACAAAGAGAGGGAGAGAGAGAGAGAGAGTAGGGTTTTTTTTAAAAGGGTATCTTTTTTTTTTCTATTCGTACGTGGAAAAAGGTTGTAGAGGGGAATCGATAATGGAAAAATGAGAAGGAGAAGAAGAAGAAGAAGAAGAAGAAGAAGAAAAATACACTCAGACACATATAAACAAACCAGAATAAAATTTCTCTCATACATGATTTCCATCCATCTATCTATCCATATCCATATCCATATCCATATCCATCTACATACATGACAACACTCGATACTTGGATACGGGGATACTTGACAACTAAATACATAGCGAATACTTTGGAGTGATTTGAATGCGAAAGCGAAAGCGAAAGGTGGAGTACTGAAATAAAATTGGAAAAAAAAAGAAGAAGAGGGGGGGGGAGGGGGGTAGGAAGTATGTGTGTATTACATGATATAGAGAGAGAGAGAGAGAGAGAAAGAGGGAAAAGAATGAGACATAGCATGGCATGGCATGTCCAAGGCAGCCCCAAAACAACAAGCATATCGATCTACGTCGAGTAAAGTGTAAGTAAACCCGTTAAAAAAAAGAGGAGGGGGGGGGAGAGAATCGACTCGCCACCAGCCTTTCTTGAAAAGTAGACGAAGAGAGAAAAAAAAACAACACATGCACACCATAGATATGCAAACGGTAACGGTAACGAATACTACATACGCCTCAGTCTTCCCCCCGACCAAAGATGCCATGTCCAATGATGACCCCGTGTCACACGTACGCACATTCCCATTTATTTTTTTGGCGCGAGAAAATAGAAGAAGAAGAAGAAGAAGAAGAAGAAGAAGAGTGGGAAAAAAGAAGAAGAAGAAAGGAGGAGGAGGATAAAGAAACAAGGATAAAATACCCAAACAACATGACTACTCCACACGACCCAGTACAATCTTGCTACTCTCAGTATGCTTATTCACAGCACCTGCACCCGCACCACCGGCAGCAGCAGCAGCAGCACCACGAAATCGATCGGGCGCGGGACTCGATTTCTTGACTGGAGGATCGAGAATGGTAGGGCTGGATAGCGGGGGTTCCAGGCTCTTGATGGGCGGGAAAACAGGCGTGTCGGACATGTTGTGGTGGTGACGCGAGGACGAGTGCATGGAAAGCGGTCGTCGTATGTCATCGTGTTTCGAGGGCGCGGGGATGGGGTCGGGCAGCATTTGGGCGGGCATTTGGGATGAGGGCGAAGGGGCGATGCGGAGGGGTGCGGGGGCCGGCGAGGACATTGTTGCTGGGAGGGGTGCGGGGGAGCTGTGTTTTATTGGGGAGAAGGAGGGGCGGTGGGCGGAGGAAGGGGGAAAGGACGAGTGTGGGCTGTTGAAGTTGAAGCTTGGGGGGAGGCCGTTGGAGGGCCGGGGCGAGGCGGCGGGCGAGTGTTTGATTGGGGAGCCGCCTGGGCCTGCTGCGGAGGTGGGACGGCTGAAGCTGCGGGCGTAGGGTGCGGGCTGTGAGGGGCCAAAGGGGTTGGAGCTAAAGGGATTGGAGCCGCTGAATGAGTTGCCGTTTTGCTGGCCATGTGTCACGTGTGGAGAGCCCTTTGTGGGACTGCTGGGTATCCGTTGGAGATTGTAGGGGGGAGGTGACGATGCAGGAGAGGCGCGAGACCGTATTGGCGAAGACATGCTGCCGTTGGCACCCTGGGTGGGCGATCCGTAGGCTGCCTCGGATCTTTGAATGCCAGGCGGTCCAAGGGCTTGACCTCGTGGGGATAGGCTTGGGCCGTCTACCCAGGGCTGTGCAGCGTGCATGTTTGGTTGGTAGGCCTGTGGAGCAGATTGTTGTGGAGCCGGTATTTGGATCGAGTTGAGGCCGGGGGATGCAGCACCGTTTGCTTGTACCTGGCCGTTGGAGGCTGGCGATTGTGATGTGAGGCGCAACTTGAGAGAAGGTTTTGGCTGCTCTGCTTCTGCCTGCTTGCGTTTGCACGATGTACAGACAAAGACAAACTTGGGATTCTCGGCCTGCTCCTCGGCGATTTCGTGGCACTTCATATGCTGCCAGACATTGCACTTTTCGCACGATATTTGGGGCGTGTCGTCGTTCTGCAGAGATTAGCACTCGTCGGCAGCATGGGCGTGGAAACATACCAGGTTTGAACCGTACTTGCCGCACTTTTCACAGTCAAAGAACCAATCCTCTTCTTCGTTGAGCTTCTTGAGATCGCTCTCATGCTTCTTCATCATGGCCTTGAGGTGCCGCTCGGATAACCTTGCGCTGTTTGAAGCCAGCTTCTGCTCGTTCTCCTGTAGTTTGCGCAGTTCCTCTTCCTTGAGAATTTTAGCCGTCTCTCGCTCCTTGAGCCGCTGCTCGCGTGTCATTCTGCGGGAATCGTGTGCTTCCTCGAGCTTCTTCTGCCTCTCCTGCTCCGCCTTGGCCATGGCCAACTCCTCCTGTCTCTTTCGCTCTGCTGCCTCGGCCTCCTCCATCTCCTTTTGCTTCTCGAGACGCGACGATATCCGCGACGAGCGTTTCGCCATGGCGAGTTTCTGCATGTTTTCCAGTTCCTTCATCTTGCGAGCCTGCTTCTTGGCCTGCTCTTCGGCTAAACTTTCCATGACTGGGAGAACGTCCTCTTGCAGCCGTTTGCACAGTATTTTTTCGTTTGGATCGCGACTCTTGCGGATGCTGTTGACGTACTCGTGATAATCTTCCAGTGTAACGCACACGCATTCCCATGTTCTGCCCCCGAGGCCGTCATCCATGTCTTGGGGTTGTTCGCTTGCGACTTGCTCTTCTTCGGCGTCGTCGTCAGGCTCAGGCGTGGCCATCTTCTGCCGCTTGCTGGATCGTGAGCCTCTCGACTTGTTTGGCTTGGGCTTGGATTTGGTCTTGGGCGGTTGGGGAGGAGGCGGATCTGTCATTCGGTACAGGCGGTTGTCGTCGAGCACGTAGATTGTCCTCTCCTGCGAGTCCCAGCCTGTTGGCTCCATGCGCTAGGGCGGCCATTAGTCACAGCACAGAGTTGGGCAAGGGTGATGCTTACCCAGAGCGTCTGCTCGTTGTCTGTCGCAGCCATCCTCTCTCTTATCGAGTTTGGGTTGTTGAGCGTCCACAGGGATAATTGCTGCAGCACGCGTATCTTTGTGAAGACGTCAAAGTCGTTGAATTTGAGGGGCTCCTCGGCCTCGCCAAAGGGGTTTCGGGCAGGCGCTTTCGCAACATACTGTCGGCGGGCGTATTCATCGAAAATATCGAGTCTGGCATGGGGTTAGTGGCGGTGCGCCGTGCGCAATGGGCGAGACATACGTAAGGCCCTTGTGGGAGGACACGTGCTTGAGCAGCGCCAGGCCAATGTGAGCGAGTTTCTCCGAGGATTGCGGCTTGAGACACTCCGACTCGAGTTCCTATGCGACTGTCAGCAGACGCTCTGGTGAGGCCAGGCAGGCGCAGTGCGGGCGACATGGGGCGCAAGAGCCATGTACCTCCATGTCAAAGTCCTTTTCGATCTTGACGGCGTCGCCAAACAGGCTGATGTACTGGGCCAGATTGGCAAACTGCCACATGTTGCGCAGGCGCTGCAGGGTGCTCGGCTGCTGGCCATCAGGCTCGACGTCCATTTCGTCGGCGGCGCGTTTTCGAGACGGCATGGCTGCGGTGCCTCGCGTGCGGCGACGCGTGCGACTGGAGAGCGGGTCGGGGGCGCGGGCAGGCGGCGGGCAGGCGGTAGAGATGGTTGGTAGGGATGGGGGCTCGGGGTGGTGGTGGGCGTGGGCGTGGGCGGTCGTCGGTCGTCGCGTGGTCAGGGCGGTGATGTGAGTGCGGCTCTGCCTCTTTGGTGTACAGAGAGCGAAGTCGCGCGACGGGAAGGGAAAAGGCGCCTTGCCGCTTTGGGCTCTCCCGCGGATCTCAGGTTTAGGGGAGCGCTTGTGGGCTGCCGCCTCTGCTCGCGCCACGGGACATGGGACAAGTGCCGGGCGCGCGCCGTCTGGGTCGCTGTGTGCTCCGCTCCATATCGCCCGTGTGCCTCTCCGACGCCTACACCTGCATGTACTACACGATGGGTGAGGGCTTGCTACGTGGGATTGGCATGCTGGCCGGGGCAGTGGGCGAGGGCTGGGCGGCGAGTGTGTCAGAAACTAGCTGCAGGCGCTGAGACGCGTCCAAACCGGCGCTCGCTGCGTGGGTGTTTGGCGGGCTGGCTGTCAATCTGTCAAGGCCGAGGCCGTGCAGCGACACTGAGTGCATCGAGGACTCGGGCTCGGAGGAGGATGCATCAGCGCGGAGTTGGGCGCGCTCGCTGGGGAGTGTTTTGTGCGGGTGCGGACAGGCCAGGGCGCAATCATGCAGGGTCGCAACGGCGGATCAGCGAATGTCGGGCGCAACAGGCCAGGGCGGTGGGGGGGGGGGAGGTATGTGTGTGCGTGCGTGTGTGTGTCGAGGGAGGGGGCGCACGAATCCAAGGGCGCCTTGAGGGGAGGCGTGGGAAAGTTGATGAGTAGTCGTGGTCAGCGAGCGGGATGGCGCCCGCAGGCCAGAGGGCGCCACGCTGCATGGGGCCTAGAGGCTGCGGGCTGCTAGGGCAGAGGGTGGCTAGGCTGAGGCTGAACTCCACCGGCCTGGGAACGGCCATCCCAATCGCCTGCCTGGCGTGCCGCCTGCATTATTTTTAGTCGCCTGCCGCGCCGCCCCCGGAGCCCGCCGCGCCGGTATATACGCGCGACTATATTTATATATATATGTCTACATGTACTATGTGCGTGTATTTGTTTTGCGGGCGCGTTCGCGGCGTGCATGCTGTACACCTGCACACAGACACACACTACACATAAGCAGCTGCAGCTGCACATGCGCCCAGCCGTCGCCAGGCCGAAACAGCTGACGGCCGAGTCGGCAGCCTGCCCTGCCCGCCCTGCCCTGCCACGGCAGCCCCTGGCCCCACCTGTCCAGCCACACCGCTGTGGCGGGTGCGAGGGCTTGCGTGGCCCAGCACCAGCACCAGCACCAGCACCGTTGCACGTCTGAGCTGAACCGCCGCTCCAATGTCCTATCCCGACCCCGACCACAGCCAGAGAGACAGCAACCACTCAATACCGCTGCGGGACCTCAATCGCCCCCCCGATGCCGCCGCCGACGCTGCGCCGCCCCAGCAGCAGCAGCACCGCCGCACCCTCAGCGACCGCGGGCGGAACCTCCTCAGACAGACGGGCGCCATCGCCTCAGCGCCCTTCCGAGACTCGCAGTACGCCCCCATAGCAGAGGCCTCGCCCAGCCCGACGCGTCATGTGCCCCCGCACATCAACACCAACCTGGCCTCTGCCAGCACCAGCACCAGCGCCGCCATACGCAGACTCGACCATCACGACGACGATGACGCCGCCTCGCCCTTGGACACGGGCGCGTTCCAGGCTGCCATCGGCTTCGGCATGAGCATGAGCTTCCAGGGCACCACGTCGCCGCCAGCCCCCACGGCAGACTCGCACACGCCCTATGCGCCCTACGACCACGACCACGACCTGTACCCCGTCAGGTCCGCCTCGACCGACCACAGCTACTTCTCCCCCACCTACGACGACACGGCCCGTCTGACTGCCCCCAACCATCTGCAGCCCATCAGCGGAGCCGCGCCCTCGACCCCGATCGAGCAGGACCGATCGAGTTTCCAGAGCGTGCGCTTTCTCAGTCCGGGCGATGCCTCACCGGGCACACGCTATGCCGGCGATATTGGGCAGGCAGAGGCCGCCGCCGCCGCCGCCGCCGCCAACCCCAGAGACTCGCGCGGAAGGACCCGCTCGCTGTCGCCGGGTCAATTCGGACTGCCGCTGCAGCGCGCTGGAACCATCATGCGGAACATGTCACAGCGTGTCATCAACGTCACAAACGACTCAGAGGTAACCGAACGCACCATACGCCGAAAGTCGTCGGTGCGCAATGACCGCCTCCACGAGCCCCCCTCGTTCCCAGCCCTCCCCGAGTATGCCACAGATGCCCCCATGTCCCCGATTGCGTCCACGCCAGTCGAGAAGCCGCCCTCGCCCGTCGTCTATTCACGCACGCCGAGCTGGCAGCGCCCTCCGAATCCGCTGCGCGGAAAGAGTCTGGGCATCTTCTCTGCCGACAACAAGCTGCGCATCAAACTGTGCGACTTCTTGGTGCATCCCGTGACGGAGCCACTTCTGCTCGTCCTCATCGTCATCCAGACGGTCCTCTTGGCCGTCGATGCCCGCACAAAGGCCCCGTACAACCCGGGCTCGGTAGACAGGTTTTCGTCCTTCAGCAATATCGACTACCTTTTGCTCGGCCTCTTTATCGTCTACACCATCGAGACCGTTATCCGCGTCATAGTCTCTGGCTTCATCATCAACCCCGTCGAGTACAGTACCATCAATCGGCAGATTGGACTGCGCGAGGCCGTCTTGGCCAAAGCAGACCAGATGTTTGGCGGTCTACAGCGACAGCCATCCATCAAAAAGAGCGCCGGTGCCGCCGATAATCCTCACCAGCCCTCTGTCCTCCGATCCTTTACCACGGCACAAATGCTCCCAGACGAGGGTCCAACCGACATGCGCCAAAAACAACGCATCCGTCTAGCACACCGCGCCTATCTTCGACACTCGTTTAACCGCTCTGACTTTGTTGCCGTGGTTTCGTACTGGATAGCCTTTGTGCTCGGCTTTTGGGGCATCAACAACAGCCGTGTGATTCTTGTATTCAGAATGTTGAGTTGTCTGCGTATCATCCGTCTTCTGAATCTCACCAGCGGTACCTCTGTAAGTTGTGCCATACGTTTGCTCCACCAACAACACTAACCATTTCAAGGTAATCCTCCGGAGTTTGAAGAAAGCTGCGCCTTTGCTGGTCAATGTCGCATTCTTGATTTGCTTCTTCTGGCTCCTCTTCTCAATCGTCGGCGTCCAGAGCTTCAAGTCAAGTCTCCGGAGAACATGCGTGTGGCAAGACCCAGACAATGTGCAAAACTTTACAAACTCGGCGCAATTCTGCGGCGGACACTTGCTCAACATTGACGGTTACCATCCAGCAGGCTACATACCTGCGCCCGGAAGGCCCCTGGGGCCAGAGCGCGGCAAAGGCTTCCTTTGTCCAAAGGGCTCACTCTGCATCGAGGGCACGAATCCCTTCGACGATACAAAGAGCTTCGACAACATTCTCCAGTCGCTCGAGCTCGTCTTCGTCATCATGTCGTCCAACACGTGGTCCGACTTGCTCTACACAGTCGCCAACACCGACTACCTCATCAGCTCCGTTTTCTTCATCATCGGAATCCTCGTCTTGAGTTTGTGGCTCATCTCCTTGCTGATTGCCGTCATTACCTCGTCTTTCCAAATCATCCGCGAAGAAAGCAAAACCAGTGCCTTCACTGGCGAGGTGATCAAAGACGAGGACGACGATGCGAACCGAGAAAAGCAACGCGTCAGCACCCTCAAACGTTTCTACGACAAGACGAGATGGCTGTGGGTGGTCATCATCGCATTTGGACTCGTGGCCCAGATGATGAAGAGCGCCAACATGAGCGATTTCCGCAAGCGTTTTATCGACCGAGCAGAGATGGCCGTCACTTTTGTCTTGTTTGTGGAAATACTCATTCGCCTCGTTGTTGATTGGAGACATTTCTTCAGGAGTAAGCGCAACATTGCAGATTTTTTAATCGCCATCATCACAGTCATCATTCAATTGCCGGCCATCAAGAATGCGCGCGACGGAAAAGTGTATGCTTGGTTAACCTTTTTTCAAATCATCCGTGTCTATCGCGTCGTCTTAGCCGTACCAATGACGCGAGATCTTATTGTGAGTCTCCTGTACCCAGCACCCGAAAGGGCCTAGCTAACACACGTTGTCAGATGGTAGTCACTGGAAACACTGGTGGTCTGCTGAACCTGATTCTCTTTGTGTTCCTTCTCACGTTCCTGGCGTCCATCTTTGCTTCGCAGCTGTTCCGTGGCGAACTACCCGACGAGGATGATGGGGAAGAGATTCGAGTACCCTTTTTTGACATTTACAATTCCTTCTTGGGCATGTACCAGATCTTCTCCAGTGAAAACTGGACCGAAATCCTGTACAACGTCACCAATTTCCAGAAACCCTTTGGCATAGCCTGGATAGGCGCTTCGTTTTGCATTCTGTGGTTCATTTTTGCTAATTGTAAGCCAAGGCGTATTTGTATGCCCAACGTCCCAAGCTAACTCGTTACAGTCATTGTCCTAAACATGTTTATTGCTGTCATTCAGGAAAACTTTGATGTGTCCGAAGACGAAAAGCGCTTGCAGCAAGTCAAGGCATTCCTTCAGCAGAAGGAGGACGGACTGACTTCATCTACCGGGTATATGACGCGTATCTGTTAGTGCTGTGCTGCCTGCTAACCGTTTGCAGCAACTTGTCTCTTTCGTCCATTTTCAAGATTGGCCAGGCGCGTCGGCGTGATCCTCTAGACTATGGCCATGCCGCTACGGAAATGCTTCTCAAGGATGCAGTAGTTCGCGACTTTCTCGACGAAGGCAATCACGAGAGTCCGCATGAAGACGAGCCCCGGCCAGGACTCCGTCCCACCAAGACTATAGCAGGATCGGGGACCATGTCTACCCTGCGGCAACGAATCCTGCGACGTATCGTCCATCGCGAACCAAATCCATTTTACGCTCCGTTGGACTTTGGACGTGCGTACGAGGATCTTGACCCAAGAAGCATGGCACAAGAAGTGGTCTCAGCCACGGAAAGACGAAAGAAGGCTCAACGCGAGTACCTGCGCAACCACCCAAAGTACAATGTGTCTCTGTTCATATTCCCGGTCCACAATCCGATTCGCAAAGTATGCCAGCGTATCGTGGGCCCCGGTCGAGGCGGTGATCGCATCGAAGGAGTCGCGCCATCGGTCCCCATCTGGTATGCGTTTTCGGCATTCATCTACGCAGCAATCATTGCCATGGTCTTGTTGGCATGTGTTACGACTCCGCTTTATCAACGAGAGTACTTTATGCGTCACGAGTTTAGTGTCAAGAATTGGTTTGTGTGGGTAGACCTGGGTTTCGCAGTTCTCTTCACCGTCGAGGCATTGATCAAGGTCATTGCCGACGGCTTTTTCTGGACTCCCAACGCCTACTTCCGCGGCTCTTGGGGATTCATCGACGGTGTGGTGCTCACCACTCTATGGGTTAATGTTGGCACATCCTTTTTGAACGAAGGCCAGGTCACTCGGACTGTTGGCGCTTTCAAAGCCTTAAGGGCTCTTCGTTTGCTCAACATTAGTGACAGCGCGCGCAACCACTTCCACGCGCTCATCGTTCGTGGATGGTGGAAAATCTTCTCGGTAAGTATGTTTCCATGCATGTATGAATGGCGCTGATTGGAGACTAGGCTGCTTTCGTCTCGCTGAGCTTGTTGATCCCCTTTGCCATCTACGGACTGAATCTCTTTGTCGGCCAGATGCAGTCTTGCAATGACGGCTCCTTCTCCGCAGGCGCCAGTCTACAGAATTGCCTTGGAGAATACGACAGCTCGCCCTACGAGTGGAATGTCCTGGCTCCCCGCGTAGCTGCCAATCCTTATTACGACTTTGACAACTTCGGAGACGCCCTCTTCATCCTGTTCCAGATTGTATCCCAAGAAGGTTGGACGGATAATATGTGGACTGCAATGAGCATCACTGGCGTGTACACGCAGCCAGAACCGCGAGCGTCACAAGGCAACTCGGTCTACTTCATCATCTTCAACTTGCTCGGCGCAGTCTTTGTGTTGACGCTGTTTGTGTCCGTCTTCATGCGCAACTACACGGAACAAACTGGAGTTGCCTTTCTCACGACAGACCAGCGATCGTGGCTCGAACTGCGGAAGCTCCTCCGTCAAATTTCACCCTCCAAACGACCCTCGTCCACCAAGCAGCGAGAAAGCTGGGAAGAATGGTGCTACCGCAGAGCTGTCACCAAGAATGGATACTGGCAAAGGTTCATCACCAGTGCTTTGATATTCCATCTCCTGTTGCTCTGCTTGGAGTGGTACCCGGGCTACGGTCCTTGGGAGACGGCCAGAGACTACATTTTCCTCGCTCTTACCGTCCTGTTTATCGCAAACGTAGTCATCCGTATCCTCGGTCTCTCTTGGCACCGCTTCCGGAGGAGTGCTTGGGACGTCTTCTCCATCTTTGCGGTGACGGGAACTTTTGTGACGTCTATTCTTGTGCTAGCAAGGAATGATGTTAGGGTCTTCATCCAGCTGCACAAGCTCTTCCTCGTCTCGATTGCACTTCTGCTCATTCCCCGAAACAACCAGCTCGACCAACTGTTCAAGACGGCGGCAGCGAGTCTGGGCTCCATTGCCAACCTTCTCGCCACGTGGTTTGTGCTGTTCCTGGTCTATGCTATTGCGCTCACGCAGACGTTTGGGCTTACTCGATTTGGGGAGAATGAAACTGGGAACATCAATTTCCGGACGGTGCCCAAAGCGCTCATTTTTCTCTTCGTCACGAGCGGAGGTGAAGGCTGGAACCAGTTCATGGAAGACTTTGCGACGATTGACCGGCCTTACTGCACCGTGGGCGACAAGTACTTCAACAGCGACTGCGGCAGCCCCGAATGGGCTCGGGCGCTCTTCATTACTTGGAACATTCTGAGCATGTACATTTTTGTCAACTTGTTCGTCTCGCTCATCTACGAGAGCTTTTCCTACGTCTACCAGCGCAGCAGCGGGCTGTCCGTCATTAGCCGCGAAGAAATCCGGCGCTTCAAACAGGCGTGGGCGGAGTTCGACCCCAACGGGACGGGCTACATCTCAAAGGATGTGTTTCCAAGGCTTCTCGGAGTAAGTATCTCACGTCAGATGCGGGTGCCAGACTAACATGTACAGGAACTCTCTGGAATTTTTGAGATGCGCATATACGACGGAGACTTTACGATTGGCGCGCTTATTGAAGAGTGCAGTGTAGCGAATCGACGCGAGTCCAACCTGCCAGTGTCAGGCCATGAGCCGACCAAAGAGATTGACATTGACAAGCTGAACCGTCGGCTGGCCCAGCTACCTGTTGCAGAAATCCGGCGCAGACGACAACGCATGAACATCTTTTATGAGGAGGTGTTGGTGTCAAGCGACCCGGACCGAGGCATCCAGTTCTCTTCGTTGCTGATGATCCTGGCTCACTACAAGGTCATCAACGAGAACAAGAGCTTGCGACTGGAAGAGTTCTTGAGGCGTAGAGCTCGCCTCCAACGAGTGGAAGAAGCCGTTCGTCGCAACGTCGTCATGGGCTTCTTTGACACGTTGTACTGGGCGCGGCGGTTCCGCCGAGCCATGGAGCAGAAGAAACAGGGCCGCATGGCGACGGTTCCGCAGTTTACCGTTCCCGAAATCTTCATTGACGACGAAGACATTACGAATGCGCAACGTGGGCAGGGCTCTGGCGTCGACAGTCCTCCTTTCTCGCCTCAAGACCTGCATGCTCCGTCGCCGAGGAACTCTGCTGGCAATGCGCCAGCACTCCCGGCGTTCCCATTCGATGAAACACGCAGCAGAAGCAATTCGATCCAGCAATCACCAACCGGGTCGCCTACAAGAGCAAACGCACAGCCACAGTCGCCCTTGTCACCATCGACTGCCGAACCCGATTGGCAATTTGCGTCTGCACTCAGCCGACCACCTAGTCCGCTCGAGGCCGAGCCTGGCCAAGCGGACAACCGCAGCCGGGCTAATAGCGGAGTGAGCGCAGCAACGGTTTTGGAGGTGCTTGACAATTCCGCATGGGGAGAAAGTATCAGGAGAAGTTTCACACAACGCAGGCGCAGCTAATATTGAGTGGGACACACACGATGATGACGCCTGCTGTGACCGGGATATATCTCCCCCCCTGGGCACACACGAACGTAATGCGGGTACTTTGGTTAGCTTTTGTCAACCCGCACGTATCGACATACAGCCTTTTTTTCTTAAAAAAAATAATGATGATAACCCAAACCAAACCAAACAAAAAAAAAGAAAAAAAGGAAGTGGCCGTTTTGATACTCAAACGCGGGGTTTAGTGGGATGTGCCACTTGTCCATGAACAAGTCAGGGACAGAGAAAGATATTCTCTCTTTCTCTCTCTCTCTCTCTCCCTCTTTCTTTGGTGCCGGTGCCCCGGTGCCCCGGTGCGTAAGAAAGAACGAAAGAAAAATTAAAAAAAAAAAGGACCGTTGCATGAACGTCAGCTTGTGGCGTTAAACCACACCCCCTACCCCCTACCCCCCTTCCCCCCTGCGTATGCACACAAACGGGCATCAACCCAACACACTTGCAACACGATGACGCCTGCAGTAAGTAAGTAAGTACCGAAATGGCCTGTGTAGTCGCGCGTCGTATGTGTGTTATGCTCGCACATACACACACATGCATACGTACACATACACATACACATACATACATACATACACGTATGGGAAAGTCAAAAAACGGAGCACTAAAGACTAGACTGGGGAGTGAGGTATAATATTTTTTTTTATTTTTTTTATTTTTTTTCGCGGGGGTGGGTCTGTCTGGGTACTGTCTGACTGGATACTGACTGTCTGACTGGATGGAGCGGGAATAAGTACTTGTTAACTGGTTGTATGCATGTATGTATGTATGGTAAATGGGTCGTGGTCGTGGTCATGGTCATGGTCGGTTGGGTTTTACTTGTTCTGAGCACCTTTTGGTTTCTCTTTTTTCTTTTTCTCTTTTTTTTTTCTTTTTTTTTCGAGGGTTGGGGGTTTTGTTTGCGGGGAGAAAGAGAAAGAGAGAGAGAAGGAAGGTGGGGTGGTGTGGTGGGATGGGATGGGTCAGACAGCATTTATTTGCATAGCGTAGGCGTCGCCATACACACTTGCACATACATACACACACGGACCACGAATCATGCTTCTAGACTGACCCTCTCTTTTCCTTCTAGCTGTCTGACTTGTCTCTGGCGTGTCTCTGTCTCTGTCCTGTGTCTCTCCTTCTCCCCTTGACGCCATGCAAACCCCGTCCGGCCCAGCCCGGCCCAGTCTAGTCCAGCCCAGCCAGCCACATGGGAGAGAGCTGCAGGGCTAAAACTTGTGGCGGGAGAGGGACAAGTCCAGAGGCGTATGGTAGTAGCTACACATGTCGTTTCTGAAGGGGGGGGGTTTGGAGACATGCATACACACATGTACACACACACACATATACACATGGGATACAGATACATACATACACATACTAAATTGGATCGGGTACAGTAACAGCCAAGCCAATGTGTGTATGTACCTGGACCCAAGAACAACCCAAGAAACACACACCCTAAAATAAAAAATAAAAAATCAACACCTGCTCCAACCCCTACAACCCCCCCCCCCCTCACATCTTCGCACAATAACACTACAGTTTTTCAAAAAAAAGAAAAAGAAAAAAAAAGAGAAAAAAAAGAGGTAAAATATTCAAGTTTGTTCCGCCATGGCCAATCGCCAATCGCTCTCCCAGAATAGAGGGTAGCAAAACAGCCATTAACCCAGCACGTTCTCAGCGATAATGGGGACATCACGACCATGTTGATTGACCCTTAGTTACTTACAGTACCGCTATCACTATCCTTGGATTTCACCTACTACAAGTTCAAATATGCATATGGGCATATGGGGCATGTCCCCCTCCCCCCCTCTTCCCTCGCAAGCTTCATGACTGTAAAACAGCCGGTTCACGTCATGATGAATACCCCCAAGTGTACGCTTATTTTTTTCGGGGCAGGGTCATTTCGTATTTCGCTCAAATGTACCTGTGACGGTGGACAATTGAACTACAACAATTGATGCGACACACAGGGCTGGCTGTACGAAGAGGGGGGGGGAGGGTGGCTCAGCGTGTGTAACAATCTACTCCAGGTGTAGTCAAATGGCCGCTGTAGGGACGATGCGAAACACTTACATGCCGCTTCGCTTCGCTTCGCTTTGCTCAACAGAGCAGGAGACGAGGTATGGTAGGTGTGTAAGACAGGAGGTTGCGAGTTTGACAGACGGGAAAGAATGGGAGAGAGGGGCTGGGGGGCTGGAGCTGGAGCTGGAGCTGGAGCTGGAGCTGCACGTATGCACGCACGCTCGCTCGCTCCATGCTGAAACACTCTCCGGTCTGGTATGCCATGGCTATGCTATGCCATGCCGTGTGTTCCTCTCCACCCTCCCCCTTCGCTTGGGAGGATAGAGGTAGGAGTGCAGGAGCTGTGTGAGGCGAAAGGATGGCAAGGGATGGAAGGGAAATGGATTAGTCGACCAGTCCACCAGTGAGAACCCGCCTTTTTCCCCGTAATTGATACTAAAAACATCTTTTTTTTCCTGATATTTCATTGCCCCTCCCCCCTGGTTTGCACGCTGTCTGTCGCATCAGGCCCGGAAGAGAACAAGTTGGTTGCATGGCTGCGGGGGGGGGAGGTGTGATAGCCATACCATACACAGCCTCCCCCCTCCCCCCCCCTCCACATAGGATATCGGGGCATAGGCAAGCAGGACGCCGACCAACGACGACGACGAGGCTTACTGCTACTGCATACTAGCATAGCAGGTATGTAAGGAAAGTTAAAGCGGCCACCGTCGCCCGACCACCGGTCCAACGAACAGCGAGCATGGGGCGCGGCGCCCGGTTCGAGCGCATGACAACGGGCGTCTGGATCGGGGGGAGCGACGGCGCCATATGTGAAACGCTGGCCTGCCCGTCAGACAAGGGCAAGGCAAGGCGACTCCGCTGGGTCCCCCCCCCCCCATGTGCTTTAGCCGTCGTACGTCGCAGATTGTTGCGTCTTCGCCCGCCCGTTGCGAAAAGACGCCGCCCGCACTTCCCCCCCCCTTCTTTGGAGACGCTGCTGGCTTCATGTTGGTGTTGCTGTGTGGGTGATTGTGGGCGTGTGCCGTTTTTTTCAGGATTGCAAGTCTAGATATCTTGATTGTTGTGTCTGAAGTCGCTGTTTTGGGGTCTGTAACTCCGGGCTGAAGCCGTTGACTTGGTGGTGATGGTGATGGTGGTGGTGGTGGTGGCCAGCCAGCCAGCCCCCCTTCTCTCTCTCCCTCCCTCCCTCCCGTCAAAACGGGTGTCTGGTTGGCTGGAATGACGGGCGAAGCCCTTGCTTGGAGACTTTTACAGTTATTACCTGACATACATAGACTTTTTTTGTGGCGTGCACTCTCCTTTCGCTGTACATGTGCATCTTGTGTATGTATGTCGATGCAGGGTGAAGGGGGTAGTGAGAGTCTTTTTTTGCTGCGACGTGACGCGACCAGAACGGATTAAACAAAAAAAACAGGGGAATTCTTCATGCGCGCTTTTTTGGGAGTGTGTGTGTGTGTCGCGCCGATAACCAAATCAAAGAGACTAAGTAGTACTAAAAACAACAAAGGGGCTGGATTTTTTTGTGTGCGGTTCTGGGCTGGAGAGAGTCTCGGGGTTTCGTCGCTAGCATGTAATACGCCGGCAAAGGGGGGGCAGAGAGGGCGAGTGCGAGAGCTGGTGAGATTGAAAGGGAGGGTGATGATGATGAGAAAAGCAAAAATGGGAACAACACGACGGCTCGACGTAGTCACGGGCTGGGCTGGGTGGTTGTTGGCAAGTCATGGGGCGATATATGCACACGACGACGGCCAGCAGCGAGGTCATGATCCCCGTCATGGCGAACAGATACAGCTCATCTCGTATCGATTGCAGGCACACATGGAGATGAAAAAGGCGATGAAAAAGCAATTTGTCCGCGGCGCCGACGCCATCCACGACCCGAATAGGGCCATGGATAGCAGACCAGCGTATGTAATAGCGGCTTCCCGCTCGCTAGATTCCAGACGACGGCGATCAAACAAGGCGTGTGATGACCCCACCCAAGAACGGCGCCCCCTGTCTTTCTCTGGCCGTGTTCCTGGCCAGGCGGCGTTTCCATGGTTTTAGTTCTGGCACGCAACACGTACTGCCATCATGCACATGCGACACGCAACACCCCCTCTCTCTCTCGACACCCCGATCCCACGCCTGTCCTCTTCTCCTCAAAAAGGCCCGCATGACGCATCGCTATTCAAAGTGGCTGCTTTCTGCTCCTTCTCGCACACACACACCCCTCCCGCTTCTTCCCACCACCACCTCCTCCTCCTCCTCCGCCTCTGCCTCCGCCTCGTCTCCCCTACCTTCGTTTCGTGGCTTTGTAACGCGCCCTCTTCCATCTACTTGCAGTGCATACCCATCCATCCATCTATACATATATATACATACACACACACCCCTTTGACCAGGGCTAGTGCTGACTCCTCTTCTTCATTCTCACCCACCACCCCGGTCCAACTGTTGGAATATACCTCGAACCGGGCCTGTACGGAAACTCTGTTCGGAAAGGAAGAAGAAAAAAAAGCTTTGGCCCGCAACCTCAGCTGTCATCATTCCCGCCCTTACCCACCGACGTGTTATTATTCTTTTTTATTCCGCACGTCATTTCACACCATCACACACACACACCTGACTCGCAAACAAGCGGCGGCCGGTGCCCCGACTACCAGGATCGCAAAGGGAAAAAAGCCAATCTAAGTTGTCTTATCAACCAGGCCTGAACTAACCGGGGTCTTTCTTTTCTTTTGGCTTCTACTGCTTCTGCTGCTGCTGTTGCTGCTGCTGCTGTTGCTCCCTGGTTCTGGTTCATCAAAGGACAGCTGCAAATCTTTTCTCCAACTATTACTACTACACGTATACCGGGCATAGTCATTTGCTTGAGACACAGCAATTCACTACGCACGCACGACCTTATTCGACAGAAAAGCAGCCGGAAGAAACCGCCGCCAATCAACCAAACAACTCCGCAAAGATGCCTTCCTCTCCAAGCCGCACCAACCGCTTCCAGTCCTTCACCCCCCTCCGCAGCACAACGGGCTCACTGCGCCGTCTCAAGACGGCCCTCAGCCCCACGCGCAACTCGCCGCGCTCCGCTTCGCCCTCGTCCATCAACACATCCTCGACAACCTCGCCGCTAACCCGCAACTCGTCGCCACACAGCCAGCGCTCCTCGTCGTCAGGCTCCTCGTCGCTCCTCGAGGTCCTCGCCATCCGCCACAAGCCCAGCGTCGTCGAATTCCAAATGCAACAGGAGCGCAGCCTGTTCGAGCAGGAACTCCATGTCCTTGAGCCCCGTCCGAGTTCAGGTCGCGGCTCCCTCGACGCTCATGTCGTGGGTATTTTCGAGGTCCTTGATGGAAAGTGCTAGATCTTTTCTCCTCCTCTTTTCTCGCCCTTTTTTTTCTTTCTTGTTATGGGAGTTAGAATCGGTGTTTTCCTTTTTTTCTTTTTCTTTTTTCCTTTCCTGGTTTCCGTTTTCTGCGAGGATTTAACGCTGCGATGAGGGAATGCGACGTTGCACACTGCACTTGGGCTCTACACACTGCTCTCTACACACTACAATAACAAACAAGGACCAACAAACACCAACAGTATATTGAGGGATTCATGCTGTTTTGTTCGTCCATCTGTTTGTTTGTTTGTGTGTATCCAACAATTGGGAGGGCGTTTATTCGCTTTTTTTCTTCTTCTCCTTTTCCCTTTTCTTCTTCTTCTTCTTCTAGGTTTCCTTCACCGGCAACCTTGGCTTAGACCCCCCCCCTTTTTTTTTCTCCCTTTTTCCCTTTTTTTTTTCTGGAGGAGGCCTTGGGGAATTCTCTTCTCTCTCTCCTGCCGAACAGAGAACTCTCTCTCTGTACCTCGACTTTACATACCCAAACTCCACATCTCTCGCAACCAATATACGAACAAACCAATAAACAAATTCAATAAACAGACTATCTTTTAGACATGTTTTGTGCATTACAGCCAAGTGTGTGTGTGTGTGTTTATATGCGGCAGTCCACTCTGATTCCCAAGCAACCAGCTCTTGCCATTCATCCCCCCCCCTTTTTTTCTTGAAAAAAAAACATCTTTTCCCTAAGATCTATCCCCCTCAGCTCCAAGTAACCTCGCCTAAGCTAGTCGTATCGTTTCTTCCTTTCCTTTTTTATCGCTTTCGCTTTCACACGCGTCTTATTTGCCAAAGAAAGAAAGAAAGAAAAATCCATCCACATCTCTCCGTCTACATCGCCATGTCTGTCTGCACTTTGCACCGCACTGCGTGCTTTTCTGGAAAAAATCCAGACCCGGACTTTTTGTTTCTCGTTTCGATCCGAAAGATCTTGGTATCAGGGCTAGGTCTAGGTGTATGCGAGGGAAAAAGTGCGGGGGAATACGCGTAGAAGGAGGGGGAGGGGGAGAAGATGGGTTTGGAGATTGAGATGGATGGATGGATGGGTAGATGGAGAGAAGAGAAGAGAGAGTTAGGATATACTCATCACTAGCGTTCTCACACACGTTATTCCGAACTTCTCTCTCTCTCTCCTTTTTCTTCTTTCCCTCGCTCTCTCTTATCCTTATTTCGCGCGGTATCTGCATTATTCCGCTTTGCTTTACTTTTACATCACGTGCCTTAGCACTACACTGTACTGCACTACACTCGACGACATGTGTTTGAGTGTGTGCGTATGCGTGATTTCCAGCTTCGATTTAAATATCTAAGAAGAGAGAGGCAGATATGTAATCAGACACATGCAAAAAAAAGCACATGATGACTTACACGCATGGATATCCAACCCAAACTAAAGCACCACAACACAACACAACACAACACAACTAACCTTAATATCAAGCTAAAAGTCAAAATTAAATCCGAGAAAATAACCCAATCATCTATTAAAAACGCACATGCTCAACTAACTAACAGCTAACACATCCACCTCCACACATCCCTCCTCCACTCAACTCAACAAAGACTATACCCCAAAGAACAAACGCAAATCCAACAGATTCACCCCCAAACGGCCATGCTTCCCCCCCCCCTTCCTCCTTCCTCCACTCCCTATCCCTACCCGTAACCAAGCACCCTTCCCCATGCCCCCACCAAAAAAAGAAGATGATGAAATAAAAACAAAGCGAAAAAACTAACTTTTTTTTTCTTCGTTGCTCAAGCAAATTGGGAAAAGGGGAAAAGGAGTAAGTACATAGTAGAGTGCCCGCTGATGACGTTGTAGCTTACATATGTGTGTTTTTGTCTTGTCTTGTTTTTGTCCTGCTTTCATAGTGTTTTTCCTAGTGTGTCGAGATGGAGCTGGAGAGAGACGTTAAGAGATGGAGTGGAGAGAGAGAGAGAGAGAGAGAGAGAGAGAGAGAGAGCCAACCGTCCAACAGTGTGACAAACCCGCGGCGCGTGATATGTAAGGGGGGGGAGGGAGGGTAACAAAAAGCACTTGCATGGTGAGAAAGATTTGACACGACAACCAAGATGATGATGATGAAGAAAAGGCAAAAGAGAGCTATTATCTAAATCGAGAGAAAGAGAGAGAGCCCTTACGCCTTTCCCCCCCGCCCCTGCCCACCTCCTCCTGTATTACTATTGTGCACAATCACACACCAAAAACAAGGTAGTTAGGCCTTGAGTCTTCGTTCTTCGCAGCGCACGCAGACGGGGTCTTGGGTGTCGCCGCGGAGAAAGTACCTTCCATCTTCAAAGGGACCGGAGCAGATCTATCTTTCTGTTAGCATGCTTATTTTCCATCAACATAGGATCAAGACTTACCACACAGACAAAACAGCCCACATGCCACTCGGAGCCAAGGGCCTTGACAACCGTGTCGGTGACTGGCTTGCGACATCCCTTGCACTTTGTACTGTAGCGATGCGTGTGGCAATTGACACACCAGGCGTAGCCGTCTTTTTCTACAAACGGCGTGGTGCTGTCGAATGGATCGCCGCACTGGGCACAGAAAAAGTGGCCGGCGTGCCATTCTGCGCCGCAGGCGACAATCACCTCGCCTTCAATGGGCGTCTTGCAGCTCTTGCAGCGTGGAGAAAAGAGTTCGTGGAAATCCAGGTGGCAGTAGAAGCGCGCGGACTCGTCGGTCCCGTCTTCATGCTCAAGACGAGCCATGTCCTCGGCCGTGGGATGAGAGGGGAGGAATGGGATGTCGACACCCAAGAGACGGGCACGAATACGCTGCACACGCTCGGCATGCTTGTTGGAGGGCTCTGGGTAGAAGGCTACACACTCGAGGTGCTCACCGCACTGGTAACAACAGAAGCATTCGGGATGGAAGCGAGAGCCTGCTGCCGAGACAATACGACCCGCAATGGGCAGGGCACATTGAGTGCAGAGAGCGCCTGTACGGACAGTGGTTGGTGTCCAGTGGGTACGTGGCGAGCCGGTGCTGTTGTAGCCATGAGACTTGTTCTGCGCATTCGGTACCGGCAGAGGCCGTGTAGAAGCAACAGGCCCAAAGCCCTTGGATGCATTCACGTTGATTGAGGGCACCGAAGAATTGACTGAGATTGATGGCACATTGCTGTGTCGTCCTCGGGTTGGAGACTCGTTCACAGAAATCGTAGGGACATCGGGGGTCACGTTGATTGCGGGCGCAGCTGATCCCCTTCTCGGTGCAGACGTTTCGCTCACTGAAATGCTGGGGATAGGCGCGGCATTACCTCTTGATGCTCTATTCGGCGCCGGAGTTTCATTCACCGATATGCTTGGGATCGGTGGAGCATTACCTCTCAGCCCTCGGCTGGGAGTAGGAGACTCATTGACCGATATGTACGGAATCTCTGGTGTCGTGGATATAGAAGGCACTGTTGCTCCACGTCTGAAAACCGGCGAGCTATTAACTGATATACTCGGGGCAGCCTGGGTGACACTTGGCAAAGGCCTTTGGTAGCCTCGACCAGAGGACGCGTTGAAGGAGTTCGACGGCGTCTCCGAGACTGAAATAGATGGTGCTGGTGTGGTCCTGGAACGTGCAGGGGCAGCATCAGGTGCGTTTATCGTAGGTATAGGTGCAGCAGAAGGACGCGTTGGGATCTTGGCGTTCCTCAGCGAACTGGTGAGTGGAAGGGGTCTCGCAGACACTGGAGGGTCTGCAGGCCTCTCGGCATTGCCACTTCGCGTCGAAGGCCTATTGGTTGCCGGGACCTCAGGTGGCCTGGGAGTAGTACTCCGCTTGGGTACTTCAGGCGCTAGGCCACTTATAGGCTCAGGCACATTAATCTCAGGGATGGAAGGGGGCCTTGATGTGGTATTTCGCTTGTGCACATCTGGTGCCAGGTTTGTGGTAGGACTGTCAGGGGCTGCCGCGCCAGACTTCGTCTGGTCGGAAGCACGCGGCGCGTCAGGCACAGCAGAAATGACTTCTTTGAGCTCTACAACATTCCAGTCCTTCTTGAAAGACACGATTGGTCGCCCTGGAGCATCGGAGACGGCGGTGGGCGTAGGAAGCTTTGCACTGCGATCCTTGAGGCGAAATCCAGTAGCAGCACGCAGCTCTTCACTCCTAATCTCCTTGCCATCCTTCATCTTCACCTCGGGTACGTTTTCTGCATCTGCCTTTGCATTCTCAGCTGACTTGGCTCCCGTAGGGTTCAGCGTGTAGCCTGCGTTCCGCGACTGCGTGGGAGGGTTCTTTTGAATCTCATATCGATCAAACCGCTTCGTGGTTGCAGTCGGATCGGTGCTCGAGCGCACCAGCGGATTGCTCTTAATTGACTGGAAACGCATAAAGGGGTTGCGTCGTACTCCCAACGGGAGCTTCTCGGGCTTGGATGGTTCGGCGGCGGCGGGTGTAGGGGCAGGCGCAGGGGGGGCGTCTTCTTCGGGCTCTTCGTAGATTTGGTCGTTGGGGTTCTGGAAAAGGCTTCCACTGGCAGTGCGGCGTGCACCACTGCTTCGCCGCCGATGCTTGTAGTCTGGCAGATCCGAAATGGCCTTGGCCAGTGCAGGTGACTCGCCCTTTTTGTGCTTGATGTCAAAGCTCGCCTTGGTGGGCGAAGAGCTTGAGATTCCATTTCCAGACCCATCTGCGTTGCCTCCTGGCCCGTTGCTTTGTAAGCTGCTGCTCCTGCTGCCTGAGGCAGTGCTGCCCATGGAATGGCGCTTTCGTAGCTTGGAGTTGGCTCGCTGCAGATCCTGGTCCTTGCCCTCGACACTACGACTCCTTTGCGTGCTGCCTTTTCTGGCCAGTCCCGGATAGGAGTAGGGTGCGTGCGGGTTGTTCTCTGCTGCGTTTGGATTGCGGTGTTTCCACACGAGCTCGGCAGCTTCATCTCGTGCTGCCTCGTATATCTTTCCCTCCTGCGCAAGCTCCAAATCCTCCATGGCTGCGCGGATAGCCCGGGCTTCGTCCTGCTCCGCCTGCCGCTGCTCCCTTTCTCGGTATATCATGCTCGCCGTCCGCGCGTGCGAAGAAGATGTTGTTTCTTGCTGTCGTCCTCGTGGTGCCTGCACAAGCGGGCGTCCAGCGCCTCCCACGACCTTCTCCAAGCTAGGCCTCGATATTGTCCGGCTATGCGACTTTGGCTCATGCGAGGAAGACGGACGGGCATCGGCATCGGCAGCGGGGTCTGTAAAGGCGCGCTGCAAGGCGGCCACGGCGGCCGAGTCAGACATGCGGTTGGCGGATCGGTTCGACCATGTGTTGAAATGCGCAGGCGCTGGACGGGCTCCAGTCGGGCGGGCAGGGCGATTAGTGCGGAGGTCTTGTAGGTAGCTCTCTGTTCGCCCCTGGTTAGCACAGCAGTCAAGCGGCAGTGTTTGCCTCGCGCTCCTTACTCATTTGAGACGGGGAATAGTAGGCGCCAGGCCCTGGCGACGATGCGCCTTCTCTTTCCTTGGATGTGAACATGTAGTCGTCGTGGTCGTCGTGTTTACTGCTGTGTTTGTCTTTGGAAAATTACGGCAAAAGCACGCAAGCGTGAGGGAGTCTGGATGAATAGAATAGCGAACGAGACAGGGCGCAGCGGGTGCAACGATAGGTGGAAGAGCCTCAGCTCTAGATAAGCGGTGGGGATGCGGTCGAGGTGCTGCGCAGAGCTTGTTGCTATTCGCTGGTCTCCCATGGCAACTGAGCCTGTGACGTCTTGACCGCCTGCCCCCCCTTGCCCCCCTGCTCAGCCGCATATAATCCCCGGATTTTCAGGGTCCCAGTGCTCAGGATGCACGTCTAGATACACGCGGCGGATACGATATTTGATCACATATATGTCCATTCGCTGGCGGGCCTCGATCCGTGTACTGCGTCTATGCGTTTACGCGATTCGATCCGAAATTGATTATGTCGATGCTCTAATAGCGTCCATGCCCGCGACTCGTCTTGCGCTAAACAGCACTCAAGCCACGCGTTGCTCGCACAAGCAACGTTTCCAAGAAGCAATTACTGTTTCCATCCCTTACACGCCCTCTAAATTGCGTGCAAATAACGCCGCGCCCAAGGCCCGCACCGTAAACGCTTCGGGGTTGGTGTACATCCAGGCCAAACTGGGTATCCTGCTCTGTAACAATGGCATAAGTTTGGAATATCTCGTCCGCGATTCATACATCGCCTCATCCTGCGCCAAAGAGATTCGTTTGAATGTCGTGAAAGTGACCAGTTACGCCCCATCCCATCGTCACACTTTCAAGCGGGTCCCATGATGTGTCAGCCGTTGTGAAGCCTGTTTCGGCATTGAGCGCAGCATAGTCCCATTCATCGCCCACCATAAGGCCGTTGCTGTAGGCGTCGCTTCCGGTTCCCGAGGCACCAAAGGCGTGTATGGGAAGAGCTTCACTGGTTGATACGAAGCCTGAGAAGCCTGTAGTACCTCCCGACGCCAAGCCAGAATAGGATACTTTGGGTGATTCCCGATACGGAATGTGCATCTCGTTCTGCTGGCTGGGCGAATATGAAGACTGCGACATTGAGCCGCCACGTGATTGTGAACTTATCGTTGCGGGGCTCGAATGGTCGACACTCCTCTCGCCCCCAGAAAGGTCCATTTCACTCCCGTCGTGCATCCCAAAGCCACCAGATGCAAAATCCGGTTGCAATATAGTGGTAGAAATGCCACGTGCTGACATTTGCGACTCAATGAAACCCGTATTTCGCGTGTGCATACCGACGCTGTTGATATTACTGACATGGAATGGCGGGCCCGGTGTGTTTTGTGCATATCGTGTACTCGACTTTGGAGCGGCATCCACCAGATCGCTGTTGCCAGGTGAGTTGATTGCTCCAGTTGAACTTTGTGTTTCGTGGATGTTGATTAGAGGATTACATCGGGCAGTGGCGTTCTCGTTGGGGTAAAATGTGGGCTGTAGGCGAAGAAGGTTAGCAAGCATAGCAACACTTGGATAATGGGGTACTCTGGATATTGACTCACATTAGCCGTCGAGGGTGTCTTTGCCTTGTTCTGTAGACCCGCGAGACCAGCACTTTCCAGGTCAAGGTCCAATTGCGCCAGAAAGGAATCCGTGAGCGGGTTTCTCCGACGAAGAGCCTGCATAGCTTGCAGGAGAAATCGTAGCGAAGAGGTCATCTGCTGGTCATTCGGTCGGGTCTTGAGGTACTGGACGAACACTCTTGCTGCCACGTAAATGCAGAAAGATATGAAAGGATTCATCTAGTCCAGTCAGCACATCGATTGCTTGCTTCAAGGGCTTCAACTTACTGCACCAAGGTCCATATGGCTGACCATCCGCATAAGGTTAGCAACCTCGGCTGCCGCTGTTACACATCTGATCTTGCTCTCGTTGCCGATGTGGGCTGGTAGTTGGTGTTTGTCTGCCTTGAATATCGCTGCCTGATGAAGACATATTGTCGATGTATGAATGCACATGTTCGTAAAGACAACATTGGGATCTGCGACGCCGGACGGTAGCCGCATATAGTCGGGTAAACCTAGGGATGTCTGGAGCAGTACTTGCTCAATGCTGCGATGTCGAGTCCAGTATCCACCATTGATATCATCGTCCGTGTCTGCGGGACCAGGTCGATGGAGGTGGAGTAGGTTGCGGCCGAACATGGCTGCCGTCAGAACGATGCCGCCAAACGAATGAATATTCGCCACGCCATTGGGTTGCAGAGATTGCTCCAGTGATGCTGTGTCCATCGGCCTGCTCTTTTCGTATGCGTCCTCGCTTGCTGGCAAGTTTGTCATGATCTTGCGCAAAGTTAGCACCATCAGGATACATTAGGCCAAAGTTGCTGCTTACGTCTCGTTCGTCAATCATCATTGGCCATCCAGTACCGATACTAGCGTACCGATCAACACAGAAAGACATCCAAAAGGCTCTCCTCCGCTCCTCGCGCTCTGTCCAGTCTTTGGGCGGAGGCAGACACTGCTTCACATCCAGACCCACGCCGTCCAAGCGGTGGAGTTGCATCATCTGCGCAAATCTCACGGCGCGACCGGCAGACAACCAAGCTCTTGGAAAGTGCATGTTCTTAAACTCGTATGTGCACGTCAGAATCCATACCTGGCAGTGTGCAAGCGTAATGGTCGTTTCCCCATGCCCTTTCATCTCGTCCATGTGCGCATACTTTCTGGCTCGGTGGTAGAAATGCTCTTGGAGTGCCTCGTATTTGTCGGTGACGGAGGCTGCCATGGTCCACATAATGTATCGCAGACATACCGGTGGACGCATATGGGGGGCGAGGTTGAGCGCTGCGAGAAAGCGTGGTCTGTGTATAATGGGTATTGTGGGATGAACTCTGGAAAAGTAGATTTGGTATCTGCCATGTGTCAGTGGCGTCGTTTCTGCAAGTCGCAGCATGTCCGTACAAATCATCCATGACTTCCTGGGGAGGCAGAGGCTCCTCCAGCCCAAGTGCTATTAGGTCCCATGACCCAGGTTGCTCTGCTGCCGTCTGGAATGGAACTGCACCGGGCCCTTGGGCTTTGCTGGCATCCGGCTGTTCGCTCGTGTCGGGCAGTGTTTGATTGATGGTGTTGGCGACATATGCAGCTGCAGAATCCTCGCGTGGTGCGTCTTTGGGCGTATCTGTCGAGTCTTGGGTCTTCAACAATGTCTCGACTTGTTCTGGCGAGAAGGGATGTCAGCATTGATAGCGGCAGCATGCATGCACCCACTTACGAAGCCGTTGTTCGAGTAGCTTCACGTAGCCACGCTTGGGCCCGCTTTTCTTCCTGACTTCATCGTAGCCACAACCGTGGGACAGTCGCTTACACGTTGAACACGACGGCCGAGCACCATCGCAGCGCAGCTTTCGCTTCCTGCACAAAACACAAGCAATCCTCTTGAATTTGCTTGAGCCATCTTGCTGTGTTTCCTGGCTGTTGGCAGCGGTGGATTCGTGCGGTTGCTGCGGCGGATCGTTGAAGGCGCTTTCATCAGGCGACTCGGACTCGTTGGAAGGCATTCTTGTGACAGGTATTATGGGCAATCTATTGTCCCAGGCGGATCAAAAGTGCGCGCTGGGCTGGAGAAAACGGCGCCCCGCGTAAGCACGGTTCAGGAGGACGAGTCGGGGGCCTTTTGGATCCAACAATCCTTCTCGCTCTGGCGCTGGAAGCCTAACCGAGCCACAAGTCGCAGTGGTGGCGGTGATGTGAGGGCGGCGGGTCGTTGTACAGAGAGGGGATCCTGGACATGCGCAGCTGTGCCTCGACAGAACAGCATGGGCAGGGCGAGGGTTGGAGAGACGGAGAGCTGTCATGTGAAGGATTGTGTAGGCTAATGAGAGCGGAGCAGCTGGTGGCTGAAAGCTGCGCCTGCGGGCGCATCGTCGTTCTTAGGCACCCACGTACATGCTAGGAGATAGGCCAATATCGGCGCATCTCCCGCTTGCCCCGATGTCACCGTGGATGCTGGCGCTGGTGGTTTATCAGCCTGTGAACAGCCCGCGAACAGCCCGCAATGTACCCGCGAACAGGCCTCTGTGTGCAACGGTAGCCTCGCGCGCCCTGGGGAAGGTTGCTTTTTGCCCGCTGGGCCTGTCACGGGCGGCGGCGGGCATTGCTTCACCAGGGCTGCATGCACGATTGGGAATATGCAGGTGCGCTAGCCCGCGGCCAAGTGGGGCCTTGGTTAGGCCCAAGAGAGATGATTGTGCGACCGATCGACACGCACCATCTTGTGCCAGCTGGGTGTGTGATGTAATCCAGTGCTGAGTCGGCACTCCTGCTCCCACTCCCACTCCCACTCCCACTACAGCACGCCTTTGGCGCCGCCCCGCCAACCTGCCCATTGTCTGGGGTCCGCGGCGCCTCTACCCCTCCATCGCGTCATGATATCGGCCTTGGCTCACGGTGCTCAACTGCCGGGCTGGCAAAACGAATGGTATTGGCCTCCATCAAGGTACATTCATGGCATTCATGCATGCTGCCACTCAGGCAATGTAGTACAGTGCGAACGCGCCCATGTCGACACAGCGGGCCCTCTACTTGGACTTGCGCTTCCCTTGGTTGCGCGGTCGGTCTTGCACAAGGAACGTGTGCTTGTTCCTCTTGTGCCTCGTCTTGTAGCCTCCCTTTGCCGGCGTTCCCCATGGACTGACGGGGTGCACGTTACCCTTTGATTTACCGCGACCACCACCGTGCGGATGGTCGGCTGAGACATGTTAGCATCATCCTGCGAACCATGGGCCCGTCGGGGCTCGGCTACTGACCTGCGTTCATGGCAACACCACGGACCTCTGGTCGCTTTCCCAGCCACCGTGACCGTCCAGCCTTTCCCAGCGATGCGAACTGTGCCTGCGGGTTGCTGGCCACGCCAACGGTACAGCACGCGTCGGCACTGACCCTGCGGATTTCGCCGCTCTGTAGTCGGATGATGACATACTGGATCTCTGTGCCGCTGCCCTTTTCTACTTCCTCCTTGTTCACGATAGTGGCATATGTGCCTGCGCTACGGCAAAAGACACCTCCGCCCTTGGTCTTGGAGCCGACGTTGTAGACCTGGGAGCCCAGCGGCACCATGTGGATGGGCAGGCAGTTGCCTCGAGTCGCCGTCTTTGCAGCCAGCATGCCGGGATCAATGCCTCCGCCCATGCTGGCAATCAGCTCTTTGGGGATGCCGCTTCGGTAGCTCTCCACTTCGTCGCCTGCCCTCATGCCGTCGGCAGCGATAATGTACGACTTCTCGCCCGTGGCCAGGCGCGTGAGGAGGGCCAGGTGTGCGCTGCGGTTGGGGTCGTACTCTATCCGCTCCACCACATGCTTGCCGGGCAGGTAGCGCTTGTAGTCGACGATGCGTATGCGTCGCTTGTGGCCGCCGCCGCGGTGCCTGACTGTGACCCGTCCGGTGTTGTTCCTTCCGCCCAGGTGCTGTCCCTTGCGCGCAATGGTGAGCTTGAGGTACGGGCGTCCCTTCCACAGGTGGTCGTTGACGGGCCGCTTGAGGTGGCGCAGGCCGGGCGTGCGAGGCTTGTATGTCCTCAGCGGAATGAACCTCTCCTTGCGGGAGCCTTCTTGTTTCAGCACCGCGCCGTCGGCGGCGACCGAGGGCTGTATCGAGGGCGGCGGGTTAGTGTCCATGGCATGGGCCTGGGCGTAGGTGCGGGCGCAGCGCAGGGCGCCGGCGAGCCGCGAGGGCTGGAGGCGACATATCCGGGGCTGCAGCATCGTGTCGTCGAGAGCCCCGGGTCAATTGAGGCGTGACGGTGATGCAATGGACGGGCAGCTCGATGGCGGGCGGGCGGGCAGCTGCTGGCCGAGCTAGCAATAATTCTCCCACCGGCCGCAAGCGGACTAGCGCAGACCGGGGTGGGCCGGGACCGCCTTGCTGCTGCACGGCGCGATGTCCCAGCAACAACCAGAGTCTGCTCTTGGTCCCCTCCCCCCCCATCACAACAACGTCGCCGTGCTGCCCTCTGCCTGCACTGCTCTGCTCTATCTACACTGCACTGCTCCTCGTGCGCGCCCTCCTCTGCAGCTCCACGGCCCGTCCTGCGCTGTCCCGACCACCGCCGCCAGAAACACGCGTTGCGTCGCGGGATTCTTTCAGGTACGTTTACTGACGCGCCGGTGGGGCGTGCACTGTTGCGCTCTGCCAGCCTCGACAGCCATTTTGGCGCGTGGGACGTGGACGGCCAAGCTAGCCGCCCTCGCTCAAAACACACAACATAGCCTCTCTGCCCTCCCACAACACTTCCCTGGTGCGCTCCTCCTCCCTCGCCCTCGCCCTCTCCACTTCCCTTCTTGTGCACGTTGTAGCTGGACCTCTACCCCGTCCACTCAATTTGCTCGCCGTCGCGCTCCTCCGGTTCGTCTCCGTCTCCCACTCGAGCCGTCACGTCGTCGTCGCCGCCGCCGCCGCCGCTGCGCTCCGCATCGAGCGTGTCAGGTCTGTCAGCATTCGCGAGCATTCGTCGTGCTGCTGCCCGCCAGCTTGGGCTGCACGCTCGGCGCCCGTCGGTGCTCGCATGCTGTCGGCCTACGTGCCTCGGACGCGCTCTGCTGCAAGCTCCACCGAACTTTGCTAACACGCCCAAAACAGTATATCACAACAAGTCACCCATCCGCCATTACACTCTGCACTCCTACTCGAGCACCTGGTTACCTCTTTAGCCTTGATCAGCATACATAATATTGCTTGCAATGCCTCCCGCTGTATGTCGCCGCTTTCATCCCGTGTATCCGCCGCGTCGTGGGCACATGGACAGCTCGAATACAGCTTACTGACACGTCCTAAACAGGTTCGATCTCTGCGGCAACGCGCCGTCACCAACGAGAACGATGAGAATGCCACGACGACACGCTTGACGCGTGCAAAGGCGGCCAACTTGGGCGCGAACGAGTCGGCAGCCGACGTCCCCAAGAAGGCTCTCCAGACAAAGAAGTCGACTGCTACTCTAGGCGCCAACGGTGCCGCGACGCGAAAGCGCGCGGCCCTCGGTGATGTCAGCAACGTCACAAAGCAAGACGGTCTTGCCGCCAAGGACGGAAAGAAGACACTAGCCACCAAAGGCCAACTCTCAAAAGCAGCACAGCCCACCAAGGTAGAGAAGACATCGCGGGCCAACTCGACGCGCTCCATCCTCCAGCAAAAGGACAAGAACTCTGCATCCGATGTCAAGAAGCGCCAGGCTAGCGGCAACGGCATCGCTGGCCAGCCAGCCAAGAGGCGCCCAGCCGCTGCAAAGCCACTGAAGGAGGAAGTCAAGGAGGAGGTCAAGGAGGAAGTTGAGGAGGACAAGGAAAAGGAACAAGAGCAGGAAGAGGAGGACAAGGAGCAGGAAGAAGAGAACGTGGAGCCGCAAGAGAAGAACGTTGAAGAGGATGGCGACAAGCAAGTCAAGGGCACAAAGAAGGACGTTGCAGAGGCACCCATCACAGAGGTCTTCTATGACGGCCCTGATCTCGACAAGGAGGATGTGGACGACCCGCTCATGGTGTCTGAGTATGTTGTTGAGATTTTCGAATACCTCAAGGAGCTAGAGATTGCGACCATGGCCAACCCCGACTACATGGAGAGCCAAACAGAACTCGAGTGGAAGATGCGCGGTATTCTCGTCGACTGGTTACTCGAAGTTCACACTCGCTTCCGCCTCCTGCCCGAGACTCTCTTCCTCGCTGTCAACATCATCGACCGCTTCCTGTCGACCAAGATTGTGCAGCTCGACCGTCTCCAGCTGGTTGGTGTCACTGCCATGTTCATTGCGTCCAAGTACGAGGAGGTGCTCTCGCCCCACGTGCAGAACTTCCGCCATGTCGCCGACGATGGCTTCACCGAGGAGGAGATTCTCAGTGCCGAGCGCTTTGTCCTTGCTGCCTTGAACTACGACCTAAGCTACCCCAACCCCATGAACTTCCTTCGCCGGATATCAAAGGCGGACAACTACGACATCCAGACTCGCACTCTGGGCAAGTACCTCCTCGAGATTGGCTGCCTGGACCACCGCTTCCTCGCCCACCCTCCCAGCCAAGTTGCCGCTGCTGCCATGTACCTTGCCCGTCTTGTCCTCGAGCGTGGCCCTTGGGTAAGTCGACGGCATGTTGGCAGTACTTGGATTATGCTGACGTGACCAGGATGCTACACTTACACACTACGCCGGCTATAGCGAGGAGGAGATCCAGCCTGTTCTGCAGCTGATGATTGACTACCTCTCGGGACCGGTTGTACACGAGGCCTTCTTTAAGAAGTATGCCAGCAAGAAGTTTTTGAAAGGTAAGCATGCACTGGCTGGTCTTGTGTGCACTGTCGCTGACATTTGGTAGCATCCATTGTTCTTCGCAAGTGGGCCAAGGAATACGTTGCTGCTTACGGTAACGCGCTCCAAGAAGAGGCAGCGGCTCCCTCCAAGACCAAGAGCCAGCGCTAAGGGAGTTTGTTCTTGTTAGGCACTTCCGGTCTCTGGCTTAGGTGTCGCAAAGCTATTCATTACCGCCATGTTGGGAACGAGTAGTGATTGACGAAGTTCGGGTCCTGACCGGGAGCCAAAATTTACGATTGCATCCAAGCCAAGCTATTCATGTTTGCATCTTGGCTAATACCATCTTCCGGTCGGCGTTTAATACATGGGATGCAAGTTGGTTGTTCACTTCTCTGTTGGTTTTTTTATTGACTGGTCTCTTTGGAATGGAGTTGTCGGCGTTCATCTCCTGTCGAGGGAGGCGCAACGAGGGATGTTTGCCTTTTCTTTTTTTTCCCCACACATCACTCCTGACTTCATTTCTCATAGCGGCTCTGGATACTCGCTTATAGCATTAGCGGTTGATATACCATGAATGGTATGATATGGTAGAGGCTATTCCTTGGTGGGACGTGCATAGCGTGTGGCTGTATATGCGGGGTAGGGAACAGGGTCACTGGCACAGGACATGTGAGAGGGTACGGTCAGGGTGTACGAATAGTGTAGATGGGGCGCTGTTTCGCGTCCAAATGGAGCAGAAATTTAAATGACTCTCTGTCGTGCCTGGGAATCAGTGGTTGAGCCTATTACAAGGCCAGTCTGAAGTCTGGCATGCTTCGACGTCGCGTCATGGTTACAGATGACAGGCCCTTGAGCTGTTCCCAGCCACATTTTGGTGTTTCGCGTTCCCCCACGTACTTGCTTAACCTCGGCGCCGCGCTTTTCGCGTGTGTTGCGCGAAGGCCCGCGTCCACGGCTCGAAAGCAACACGACACGTCAGAGGCGTTTTTATGCACACGCCGGATATTCCCTCAAGCACGAACACGCCACGTCCAGACCGCGCTTTCACACACACACGCACACACACACACACCGTACGCATAGGCCATGGGTTGGTGGGCGAAAAGCAAATCAACAACAACAACAACAACAAGACAATAATAGCCGGCTGGACCGGCTAACTAACTCCCCCCAGCCAACCATGCACGCCGTCATCGAGTCGCGTTTTCCCCGCCCCTCCACTTCTGTCTGTCTGTCTCACTCTCACTCTATCGAATCGAATCGAATCGAATCGGTCAACTTCTCTCTCACAAACGCTCATGTCCGCCTGAGATCACTGCACCTTCTGCCTCGGCCCAAGCATCGACGCTATACCCTTTTTATTCAGTCCATCGACAAAGAGCTGACTGCACTGCGATCGCAGCGTTTTGGAGCACGTTTGCTAGAGGCCTATTTACCAACATTGTTTAAGATTCTATTTTTTTTCTTCTTTTTTTTCATCGGGCTTTCTTCACGTTGTTCTTGTTCCTGTTACTATTACCATTACCTTGGGGAATCGGGTTGTTTTGATTGGGAAGGGTGTGTATGTGTGTGTGTATATGACAACACAACAACGACCCGCGGCAAATGTGTGATTGGTGAAACTTTAAAACGTGACTTTATTTTTGGGCTGTTGGTTGTACACGACGCGCAGGAAAACGAGCGACTATCGACGAGCGACTGCGACGGGGTGAAGAGAGAGAGAGAGAGAGAGAGAGAAAGAGAGAGCTACCTGGATACTGTGCACGAGAGATCTCTTGTGTAACCTCTGTCGGTATTGGGCGCTTCTTTCTTTTTCTTTTTGCCAATTACGACTTCCTCCACCGCTCAGCTAGCTAGCCAGCCAACCAGCCAACCAACCACTCGGTCAGCCAGCTACCCCAGCTACCCCAGCTACCCATCCAGCCAAGCACACACACCCACAACACACCCACATTACACAAACCAACCCTCGCCAACCATGCAAGAAATAGACGTCCACTACCCCCCAGAAGCCTGTCCCTTTTGCACCATCGCCGCCGCGCATCCCTGTCCCCCGGACCTCAGCACCGCCCCGGCCTCGCTGTGGCGCAGCGCAGACGAAAAGCAGCAGGATGAACTGCACAGCTGTGTTCCTGCCGACGACGAGACGGAGCCGACTAAAACTAGTCCGAGCAGCTTTGTCGTCCTCAGAAGTAGAGATGTGGTGGCGTTTTTGGATATTCTGCCAATGACGGGTGGTGAGTTTTTTTTTTTGCCAATCTTTCTTCCCCCCTTTTTTTCTCTTCTTATCTTGTTTTTGTATTGTTATTATTGAAGTGGATAAGTTGTCATATTGGGTGTGATAGGCCTGGTTTGGAGTCCTTTTGGAGAAAGAGCAAGGAAGGGGTGTGTATATGATTTGCTTGATGATGGTGGTGGTACACAAAAAAAAAGACCCAGATACAACACGAACATTACAGAAACAAGGAGAGAGAGAAAAAAAAAGCTAATACCCTTTGGTTTCTTCCCCAGGCCATTTACTCGTTACCACGCGCCAGCACAAGGTCAAAGTCGCTGAGATGGAGGCGGTGGAAAGTAGGGAAATGGGTAAGTTTTCTCTTCTGTTTTCCTCTATTCCATTACCTTGCACATTGTATCTACGACAAAGAACCTCGCATACAATTAACCACTACCTGTATATGAATTAAGATGTTACTCAGCGCTAACATGATGATTTTTTTCTTTCCTGGCTGAACAGGTTTCTGGCTTCCGATTCTCGCGCGAACAGTGGCAAAAGTCACGGGTGTAACGGACTATAATATTGTTCAGAATAATGGTATGTTTCTCTTCCTCGTTTCTTACCTTCCATCTATCCATCCATCCATCCATCCAATTACTCCCCCCCCCCCCCAATTTCTAACATTCAGCAATAATACAGGCGCAAGAGCCGCCCAAGTCGTACCCCACGTGCACTTCCACATCATCCCGCGCCCCGCCAGCATGCCCGAGATCAAGAATAAAAGCTGGACCATGTTTGGCCGCGGCCAGCGCGACGACCTGGATGACGATGAGGGGGCTAGGATCGCGGGCGAAATGAGGAGTGTGTTGAGGGCTGAGCTGGAGAGGATGTGTGTTGGTGAGGGGGCCAAGTTGTAGGTGTAGTAGTGTAAGTAGTGTAGTGGGTGGGTTAGTTGTGTGTGTGTATGTGTATTTTTTTTCCCAAGTATGATGAAATATGGATATGAAGATTGAAGACGTAGCAGAGAAGAAATAAGTGGTGGTAGAGTAATAAGTGGTAATAAATGAGTAGATGGCAATTAGTATTTCATTATTTGATATCATCCCAGTATTGAGTGATATGTTTTTCTTTCTCTCTCTCTCTAAAGGAACAATGCTTAAGTTCTGTTTGCAAGCCATATATCAACAGCCACATTCGATATGTTCATTTTATTACAAAAAAGCAGGGTATCATTATTCTTTCTTAGATCCATTTCCCCAACTCATCTCAAGACACATGCAACATTTCATTTCCGAATCACTGGCTCTTCTTTGCCTGGGCTTTTGCATCCGCAGGTACAAAGCGCTTTCGCACGGCCTTGATCATCTGGTTGAACCAGAAGAAGTTGAGCATGCTCAGCGCCGTGTTGCCAACCAGATACACACATACCAACCACATGGGTAGATCGCCAATGGAGCAGTTTCCTGGGTCGTCGAGGCCCATGCTGCTGTTGTTTGTGCTTGTGGCATCGCATTTCTGGGTTTCCAACAAGGAGCTCATGGGGTCGGCGTGGGACATGGTCAGGGCCCTGTAAATGTCCGAGTAAATCATAATGGACTGGTAGGTTCCCCAGACGATGCGGCAGCCGAAAAAGGTGACGAGGAGCGCAATGCCGTTGTAGAGCTGCAGCTTGGAGCCCGTCATGCCGAGCTTGTCGCAAAACCAGTGGACGTTGAGAAAAGGGGTGGATAGTTCGTAGAGCACAAAGGAGAGACCGTAGTAGTTTCCAAATGGTTTCTGCGCGTGCGTTAGCGAGTCAGTTGGGTGCCTGGGGGGGTGAAACCGTTGGGGCGCAAACTTACAAAGCCAATACACGTTACGGCTAAGGCGCCAATGGCGTGGATCAGCGCACTGGTGCCGGCAATGTTGATGTATTGGGCGGATATCTGGAGGTCCCATAGGAAGTAGCCGGCTGCGAAACCTTGGACCATGCCGCTGGCGGGCGTGTAGCCCCAGAGGCGGCCCCTCCAGTCCATCTCGTGGCGCTGCTCGTCCTTGATGATGACCCACAGCGCGGCGGCGCAGATGAACAGGGCTTGGATCATAGAGACCCAGTGGATGTCCCAGTTGAAACGCGTGCGCTTGTCGAATCCATGGTATGTCTTTGGGCAGACGAGGCGCGACACGGCGGGCGAAAGCACGTAGAGGATGAAGTGGTAGCCGAGGAAGCCAAGCAGGATCTCGTGAACGTGGTAAGGCAGCGTCGTCAGGCCGAGTCTGTCAGCAAACGACTTGGTTGCCTGCACAAGCAGCGATGGGGGCGGGAGAGGATCCCGCATGTTTGGGCGGAGTAGAGTATCGACTAGAGACATGGTATATATCAGTTGCGCTGCACGACGAGAAAAAGGAATCTGAACCACAAAACTGGGCAATGTACCTGATGGCCAGGGCTACATGTTATATAGCGAGGCGGGTGGGGCTTGGGAATCACGACGAGTCCCTGGTGCGTATGAGGTGTCGTGTGTCGCACACTAGATGCTTCGGATGTCTGTTTTACCGCGCTGAGTGCCTGATCCCTGAGTCGTCACATGCGGGGCTTGCGATCGAGCGCCATCGAAAGCTTACCCTGCGCGCCAAGCCGTGGCTACCAAGCTGCCGACTATGCCGCTTCTGGTGGTTTGCGCGCGCTGGGTCGTGGGCTGTTGGCAGTGCGGCAGTGCGGCAGCTGTGTTGGCGAAGACGTGTTTTGCGATTAAAGCCCGAGTGTATTGATGGGGAGGTTTGGCTGTTTACTATACATATCTGAAAACTTCAAGAATGTATTGGATGCGATACTGTAGTCCTGGCATATCGAGTTAGCCAGGCATAGTTTGTAGGCCAGAACTTACTTACTGACCTACCCTCTGCACCGGAGTATTTCTGCCGCCCGTCGCAGGTCCGGTGAGAGGCCATACATACCCTGCTTTAATATCCCCATGCCAGTTGGGCTTCGTGCATGACCAGTTCACCACCCGACTCGATCGATCCTCGCCCGTAATCAGCGTCATTCAGCTGCAAGGCGTTCTCCAGCCGAGGCTTCACACAGCCCATCTTGTAGACGACCCCACGTCTTCGCAAGTCGAGTCGCCCTTCCTTCTCGCACAGCGTTGTGCAGATCACCCTCTGGCCAAGCATGGCGGCGGCAGTGCAAGTCATGCTCCCGAGGCATTCCACCGAAACATGGTGTTTCTAATAGCGGATCACGCGAGCGGGCTGGTGGGCATTCCTCGACGCGCATCTCGATCACGCCGCGACGGCCCCACACGTCACCGCCCGACTTTTCTGCCGGCCTCGACTATCGTGGGCCTTGGCTTCACGTCTGATGGGCAACGAGCACACTTCATCCAAGGCCAGCGCCCCTTTGCGCCCTCGACCCGTGTCGCCTGTCCGCACCCACGCCATACCGACAATGAGCGAGCCCGGCGACGTCGCAGCCGACAGGGCGCACTCGGGCACGCCGCCGCCCGTTGTCGACGCCGCCGCCGCCTCTGACGCGCCCACGGGCGCCAACGGCAAGAAGCGCAAGCATGCAAAGGAGCCCGATGCCAACAAGAAGCCCAAGGTCATGGAAAACAAGGCCATCTGGATCTCCAACCTGCCGCCGGACACGACGGCCAAGGAGATTGAAGACGAGTTCTCGCGCTTCGGCATCATTGACAAGGGCGCAGACGGCCAGCCGCGCATCAAAATGTACATGGACGAGCAGACGGCCAGCTTCACGGGCAATGCCATGGTGATATATTTCCGCAAGGAGGCCATTACCAATGCCGTCAACATGATGGACGACTACGTGCTGCGGCCCGGCGACTACTCCAACGGCACCATTCGCGTGGAGCCCGCGAGCCTCGAGCACAAGAAGGAGCGCGACGGCGACAAGATTGCCGCCAAGCTGACGCGCAAAGACCGAAAGGCGTCGGAGCGCAACCGAGCAGAGTTGAACCGGTAAGTTTCCTGCCGTCGACGCTGCATTACATGACTAACGCAAAACCTTACTCTCGCAGCAAACTCAACGAGTGGTCCGACAACGAAGAAGAAGTCGCAGAGGCATTTGCCCCCAAGAAGAACAAATGGGCAAAAGTCGTCATCATCAAGCACGCCTTCACCCCCGCCGAGCTCGACGCCGAACCAGAAGCCTACCTCGAAATCAAAGAGGAAATGCGCGAGGCCGCCGAGGAATATGGCCAAGTCACAAATTGCACCCTCTACGACAAGGAGCCCGACGGCATCGTAACAGTGCGCTTCCGCGAGTTTGAACCGGCTGAAAAGTTTCTGGCCAATTACCAGGGCAGAGGCTATCAGAGGCGCAAACTCGCCCTGTCACTTGCGGAAGATAAGCCAAGGTTTAAGAAGTCGGCGCGCGGAGAGGATGTGGATAGTGAGGATGAAGCCGAGCATTTGGATCACAGGACCTAGTTTGGGGAGAACTTTTTTTTCTTTTTTCTGATACTACTCTATCTCTCTTTTTTTGGGGGGCTCATCTTCTTTCATGTATATGCTGCGTTTGAATCAGAGTGGGAGAGAGAGAGAGAGGAGGCTGCAACGGTGTAGTCGCGGCGCTAAAGCCGTTGGAATCCACAGTGGCTGGATCTGATAATACCCTTAGCTTTACTTTACTTTACTTTATTTATTGCATGCAACGATCACCCAAGCAAAAACCGGGCCTTGGACACAAAAAAGGCAACACTGGCAAAGAAGTGGAATGTTTTCTTTTTTGAATAGAAATCTCTTTCTGCGTTTTCATTTCCCTATCTGAACCTATTATGAAACTACATTATTGGAGAGAGAAAAAAAAGAAGAGGGAAAAAAGAAAAAGAAGAAGAAGAAGATGGGGCAGAGAGTCCATGGCCTCTGGGATACAGATGCAAAAGTCACCAAAACATTATCCCTCATTTCCACCCTCCCCCACCCCCATCCTCAGCCGTCGTCGTTATTACGATGAGGGCAAAGAAGAGCAAACGACGACCCAAACCTCATGCTTCCCATCTGGTGGTATCAATGACAATCGTGAAAAAAATGTAGAACAGCAAACAATCAAAGGAAAAGAAGAAGAAAGCTCCCACATGCAAAGGTGTGTGTGTGTGTGTGTTGCATCTTTCGCTTCCGTCAAATACTGTGCGTGATGAAGTTCATCTAAAAGATGAATGCAGCGGCAGCGGCAGCGGCAGCAAGTAGGACACCTGCGCTACAAGCCAACTTGGGGGCAGCACCGGGGAACTCAGAGGGCCTGGGCGAGCTCGAGTGGAAGGGGCTGCTGGCGGTGGGCGAGGGGGCAACGACAGTACCGTTGCCAATGGGGTAGCCAGTAGGCATGGCGTAGCCAGCAGAGGCCGGGGTCGAGACAGGCACAGGAGTGCTCGCAATGGGGACGGGCATCGAGCCTGTGGGGTAGCCTGGGGACGAGGAAGCAGACGAACTTGTCTCGCCGTCTGAGACGAGGTGGAAGTTGGCACATCCGATGCGCGTCTTGTTGGCCAAGTGCAGAACAAACGACACACCACCAAACTAAAAAAAAAATAGCTGCGTTAGCAGGGGTACTCTACACATGGTTGGGAGGAGAGCAAGAACTTACGAAAGCCGGGTCGGAAGGCGAGGTCGAAGAGTACAGGTCGACGTAGCTGGCGGCGAATGTGTTGCCTTCAAAGGTTCCGTACTTGCCGCTCAAGTCGCCCGTCTGGCAAATCTCGGGCTTGCTGGCATCGCACTTTTTGTCCTCGCCGTAGTGGTACGGGTCCAGGTGAGCGCCAGCACCCGTGCAGTTGCCGTCGGCCGGAACGGGCTTAGCATGGATGTGGTACATGAAAGGGCCGCCAGTAGCAGGGAGACCAGAAAAGTGAACGTTGAAGCGCACGCCCTTGCCGCCGTCGGCCGTAGAGCCCTCAATGGAGCCAGCGAGGCTGCTGCCGTCCTTGGTAGGCAGTGTGGCAACGTACTTGGCACCAGCAGGGTTGTCGGTGGTGACGGGTGCGTTGCTAGTCTGGGCGGTGACGGCAGAGGCCGCGGCCAAGAGGGAGACGAGGGAGACGAGCATCTTGTGGGTGTTTTGTTGCTGGATTGCTATTGCTGGTAACGAGTGCGTGTGGTGGTCTGGCCGGGCGGGTTAGTGCTTGTGGCGGTGGGAAAGCAGTGCCCTTTGTAGGCAAGGGCACGTGAATGGAATTGAGTGACAAGTGCCAAGTGTGTTTATGTGAAGGGGTACAGGAATCGGGAAGGCGCAACCCAGTGGCTGGGCCCTCAAAGAGAAACAGCAGCAGGTGGATCTTATATTTGGCCAAGAGACAGGAGGGAGAAGAAGCAACATACCGGGTATTAGGACTAGGCAGTAGCAGTAACTCGTGCTGATGAGCAGTGCGAGGGCGGAGGCTGGGGAGAGTGGAGGGCGACAGAGGCCGGGCGTGCAAAGCTATATACAAGCGTGGTGGGTTGAGGCACAGCAGGGCCAGAGGCTGGGTGGGCTGCGGGCGAAAAGGACCGCCCTGCCACACGGCGGCGTCTTTCTGCTTGAAACCATTTTGTTTGTCGTGGTGCTTATGCTGGGCGCTCGAAGGTTTCGAAACGCCAGCACGCATGGGCGCGTTGCTGGCCAATCGCCGCGGGGGTGGGCCTCGTTCCTGGCGCCGGGGCCACCGCTTAGCCCTGGAGCTGTGGGGAATTCCCATCCACCGGCTTTTGCATCTGCGCTGGTGCTGGAGCCTGCCATGCGTCACCCCTCCAGCCCTCCAGCCATCCCTCCTCCTACTCACTCCTTCACACACAAACTCGCATCCTCTCACACCGCGCCGCGTCCTTTTGCCCGCACGCCCGCCTCTTCTTTGGCCCGCACACGTTTGGCTGCCAGCCCGCCCTTGGAGCCCCTCACCGCGCCGCATGCCCAGCTACGCGACAGCTGCCAGGCCCTACTGCCGCGCTAAAGGCTTCCTTCAGCCTTGGAACCCGTCCAAATTTACTCCATACACAGCCGTGCCATGACCCGCTTAGCCCGAGCCCTGGGCAAACCCGCAGTCGGCGCGCGCGAAGATCTCGCGCGCTTGGTCCCTCCATGGAAATAGACCAAACACGTGTTCCTGAAGCCAGCGTTGCAGATGTTTTTTGGGCTGCATCATCCTGAGGCACGAGTTTGAGCCTACTCGACGCTGCCAAAAACAATCCACCCAACGGCAATGACGGCTGCGGCGTCGTGGCCGACGAGATGAGCTGGGAGATTGAGTACAATGTCGATCCAACATTCTTCCCTAAACGAGGCAGGGTTGCGCATCCTGGCTCGAAATTGTAACTTGGACGCCCACAAGACGACGTCCATCACACACACGCACATACCTCTTCTCCCAAGTCTTGCAGCCTTAGCATGTCTCAAGCCTGGCTTTGTGGCGAATCGCGGCACGACACCCACTAGCAATGGTCGGCGCACCCGTCTGTACCAAGTCTTGGCTGACAGCTTCGATATCCCTGTACGCTCGCCATGCTTCTTCCAACCTGAGATTGTTTCCGTCGCATGCATATGATTCAACTACTGTCAGGGTTAGTTGATTGCCGCCCCACATGGGTTTGACCTCTATATTTGTGTACAAGCAACTTGAGTGCTTTTGCCTGAGACATGGCTCGTCCGGCGCCGTGGCAAAGGCAAAGTTTGTTCTTCACACCCGAAATGTGCCCACTGACCTGGTGGGTAGTTGTGTTTGTGTTAGTCGTTGTGCCTACACCGCTACCGCACCTTTCTGCTCCATGTCGATCTACTCTTGTGCAGCACTATGCCTACGTGTCGGCTTATCTCTAGGTTCGGCCAAACCGGATGCGCCATTACCCTCTCCTACCAAAGCCTTTAATCGGGCTAAACGGCCCGCTCCATATTGTTGGGCCAGTGCTGACAACGTCGTGCTTATGCGGCACATATCTTGGTTGGCTTTGTCGACATGGGAGTTGCCCAATCTCGGCTTTCGTTGCTCGGCCTAGAACATGCAGGAACCGCACGACGATCTGTTCACGATTCGCAAGTCCCCGCGGGCAGCCTCGTCATGCTCTTTCCTGTACTCTTCCGGCCGATGCACGTCTCTGCCGCATAAGACTGCGATATTACCTCCACATCCCTGAAATCTCGATTGTACTAGGAGGAGAACGTTGTCTTGGTGTAAGCTGGCGGTGGCGTCGGACTGTATCTCGGCCACGTCGTTATCTGGTTAATGGTACCGAGCGCGGAATCCCATCGCCATTGTTGCCCTGCAGAGCAAATAGTACAGCCTTGGTCGCCTTGTTTCCCTGGCTCTTCAATAGCTCTTTCCCCTCTTCTGCCATCCACGTGGTCGTCAGAGCGTCGTCTTATTCCAGGTCATGCCATATCCAATGTCGACTCCATTAAGGGAGGATAGATCCATTGCTTCTACACGAAGACAGCGTCTACTGGGAACCCGGAGCCTAGGTCCAGATGCGGTTCACGGGTGGCATGAACTGCACCAGAGGAGTGCGAGCAGTAGTTGTAAGTTGAGTGACAGCAACAATTCGACATGTATGCTGAGGCAAGAAACTCTATTTCGTCTGTTGAGGAGGAGGTAATCGTTTAAAGATGGGGAGACACAAAGGGTGGCCGGCGCATGTTATTATGTATGTATTATGCGCGCAAACTTGCTCAACCTCGCAGTGCCGCTTACCACGTGTATTCCGGCCCCCCTTCTTGGCAACCAGTATAGTTTCTCGCCTGCGGAAACCGACAGTCTACTATATTGTCCTGGGCATTGATCTGCTAGTCTTTCCTCGCTCAACAGCATTTTGGTTTGTCTGCCTGGCAGATATCCGAATGGGTTTTCTTCACGCAGAGCTTCGACTACGTAGCTCTGAACACCAGTGCACGTATTGAAGTCGAGCTGCAGAGCAACAGTCAGAGTTGGTGGCTCACTGGCATGATTTTCCATTGGAAGCCAAGTGAGGCGTGTGCAGCCATGTTCGGATATGGGGAGCCGCAAGTAGTAGGGCCAACTCTGCTGGTGAGAGGACAGACGGAGAAATAGACTGCAAGTTATTCAAAAGACTAAGATGAAAAGTACACTGCATCTTAAATACGCGCGGCTTGGTGAGCATTTCTACAATAAAGGTGTTGGTTGCTGCTAAAGCTGTATATTGAATGTAATCACGTACCATGCATGAATCACGTGTTCCGCATACTTACTCAGGGGCCCAAATCCCCAGAGAAAAAAAGCTCAACAGAAAGCTACTATGATTGGCTATAACAAAATCTGCCAAGATAGTAGTTGTAGGAATCTCTCTGTCTTGAGTTAGTCGCGCCAAGGCTATCTATTCATACAAGCAACATCACAACGACCAGGCCAGGCCAGGCCAGTATTAAAATGCATAAGCCAGAAAATATTCATCGCTAAGATCCCCTCTTATGTCCCTGATCGTACGAGCTACGTACATATATCCTACCATCCATCCATACAACAAGCTTCCGGCGCCTCCCGGCCCTCGGGGTTCGCGGATAAGTAAGGTCCGCAATCAGTTGTCCGAAGGGCTCCTACTTAACCCCCCCCCCTTTTTTTTTACAGGAGTGTATAGTACTGTGTATCGTATCACCTAATATTCAGGAAACTTTATCAGTCCCAAGATGATAAAAGTAGTAGAGCTAGCACTGATAGCCATTAGATGGGGCGTTATACTTGGCATAACCCCCCCCCCCCTTGTGTGTTGCTAGGTGAGATGGGTGAGATGGGTTCCTAGTGGTGGGAGATTTTGGGAGTGCTACGTACGTACATTTATCTTTTGATAGGGCTGGTTAGCTTCGGATTTATGATCGGAGGTTCCCTTCTTTTTTAGCCGCGTAATCATGCGTCAAGTACTTACAGGAGGTAAGCATTTACAGGTATTTATATCAACTGATGAGCTTATTCCCTCTAGTCAATCCAAAGCTTGATTTCCTCCTACTAAGTACTTACTATCCTCCCCCGCCCCCCCTTTACTACGTATATTCCCATCAGTAGCAATAAATTAACTAAACCTTTTACCAAGTAAGTAATACATTTTTATTGATTGCGACTGGATTGTCGAGCTAATAGGGTTTGTAGGGTTCCATACACAGCGATCATGCGGTTCTTCTTCAACGTCTCGGTACTGTACATGGGGTGTGTGCTGCTAGGGTCTGTGAACGCTCATGTACTGCCTGCAAGAGGTATGACTTGTTTTCCACAACACACGCACATACATACATACATAAATACACTCTCTCGATATATATCATCTTGTTCTAACTTGGCTACTAGCTCCCCAAAGCCAGACGGGCTGTGCTGGATGCCATAGCAATTGCGACGGATACTCGACTCCGGCTGAACGTAGCAGTTGTTACGGAGGGTGTCCTATATTGTTTGGCGATTGTTGAAGAATAGTGTCCATATCGTGATGGAATGTTGGTGTGCGATTTAGGGGTCTTTGGCTAAGCTGCAGAGGCATACCTAGGTTAGGCGGCGTATGATTTGGTTTTTTATTTTGAAAAGTTGGCATTAGCGTGGATGGGTATTGTGGTGGAGAGACAATCAGCTTAGGAAAGAATCTAGGATATGGATTATGAATTAGGACGAAAACTAGACTCGAGGAAATATATACGAAAGATCGGTCTTGAGGACTGTGTAGTTGTTCTGTATCCTTGGCAGCTCTATTTGATCGCACGGCTTAGGCTCCGCATACTACAGTAACACCAAGTCACAGGTTTACATAACACTCGTACGCCAAAAGGTATGAGATTAGCGCTTGATTTAGCTAACAAGTACTTCTCCCCTACCTTTCCTTTTGCGTGGTATATCCAACTAACTTGACTATAATCTGCAGCTAGCGCTGCAACGATCTCCCAAGCGTAGCATGTCCGTTTCGGCTCATCTTCAGTGTTGGAAGCATGCCGTCCAAGAACAACACATACGAAACCCTTCCACGACACAGTTTTCTTTTTCTTTTCGTCTACCACGGCCTTATGCGACATACACGTGGTTGCCAATCCTCGGTATACGTAATGGGGGCGCAGCATGCGGTTGACATGCACTAAAGCAACTTTGCATGCAGGCGCCGCGCCGCGCATGGCATGTATGTACGCAGTAGCTACAACAAGCTGAAGAGAGTCGCATTTGGGACAAGGTCGCCAAAAGAACGGGCGCAAGTAGGGAAAAAGATCATCAGGGCATACAACGGTCGGCGGGGCCTGAGGTGTGTGCAGCTGCTGGCTGCAGTGCGTCGGGCCTGGCGGTGAGCCAATCAGACTATCTACGTCACCGTGCCAACGGATCACGGCTGGGCAGACACACTACAGCCACACCGGTCTTCATACCCTCACCCACAAGTCTACCTTGGCCAAACCATACCGTCTTGCCGGCCCGTATTTCTTCCCACCGCTGTCAATTGCGTACGCGTAGCCGGTGCCATACACTTTGGTTCCCCGCCCGTTGTCGCTCCATAGCTCGTACTCCCAGCCATCTCTATATCGATAAACCCAACCGCCCCAGCAACCTCCATCGGTCCCCCACGACAACACCACAGCCCTTCCTGGCGCAAGCCGCACCTCTCCTCCACACCACGTCGTCGACCCCGACCGAGTCACCTATTCTGCCAATATGCGCCCCTCGCTCGCCCCGGTGCTGCTGGCGCCTCTCGCCGCCCTCGCTGCGCCCGACGTCCTCGCCAACTTTGAGCCGGCCGTCGCAGGCCAGCAGGCCAATGTATACGACTTGATGCCCACGGCCCCGCCACAACTGAACCCGGAGCTCCTCAAGAGACAAGGCAACGCATGCGCCAACAACTACTTCAATTGCGCGGGTCTGGGAGCTCCGGGACTGTGCTGCCCCCGAACAGCAGTCTGTTCAGCTGACCAAGCTGGCCACGTAGCGTGCTGTCCCCAAGGCGCCGCCTGCACAGGAGCCCTCGGCGCGGGCCGCCCCACGGCAACGGTACCCTTTGTCACGGCGACGACGACCAACGGCCCCTTTGTACAGCAAACCAATGGCGCGAACCACGGCAGCACGGTACAGAACCAATTCTACCCCTTCCCGTACATACCGACAACTTACAAAGACGCAGCTGCCTGCTCGTCCGCTTATACAAGCTGCCAGAGTGATGCTGCAAGTTGTACAAGTGCTCTTGCCAATGGCGCCGCTGGTATAACCATATCCGCTCCCAATGGCGGGGCCACCATTACCGCCATTCCAAGCGTCGGCCTTGCGTCGGCCCAGAGCATCTGCTCCAGCCTCAGCAGCCTGGGCTGCTCCCAGTTGACTGTCGAAGCATGCCAGGCCTTTGACGGAACCCGGAATGCCGCTTGGCGCGCCCCCTGCCGCGATTACATCATGACGGCTGGAGTCGCCCTGGGCATTGCAGGACAGCTTCTGACATGATGGAGTTGAAATGCCGCTCCTCCTTCGTTTCATGTCGATACATAATACAGCGAGGGGACTTTTTTCTTCTTCTTTCGGTTTTATCCCAGAGACTTTCTCCACAAGTGTTCGACTGGAACACTCTCGGTGATTCCTTAGCCACGGGTTTGAGTCGCTTTGTGTGAGACGGAGTCTTTTCATCCTGTAGCATTTTTGGCGTTTTTATTCCGCACCTATTCTGTTTGTTTGTAAACAAAAAAGGGGGTGGAGGTAATCTATCTCTCTACTTTTTTTTTCTCCCCGTTTTCCTTTTTTCCGATTTCCTTTTTGCGAAGTCCTCAGCGGAAATCACGTGGCAATGGTCAGATTACGAAATACCAGGATGAAGAGACAGAGAAAGACAGAGAGAAAACGCAGTTTATGCCTTAGTTAGCCATGTAGTGTACGTTGACATGTTTTATGCAGAGTTTTTTTGTCGGTAATAAAGTACACGGAAAAGAAAACGAAATAAAAAAAAAGTTGACCGGTTCATACTTATCCAGTTTCTCTGTCTCTCTCTCTCCTCAAAAGTCTTTAGTTTTCGTATTGCAAAAGTCCACACACACACACACACACACACATGTTTCTTTCTAGATATTTGACAGCATTGGAAAAGGCTAGTGCGGAGAACCAGATTGTCAAACATGTATCATGTAAGGGAAAAATATGTGTTTTTTTTTAGGGCAGCGGGGTTAAGACAGCATTGCATGGATGGCATACATAGGTCTCGTGTATTTCATTACTTACGTCAACTATCACTATCACCATCATCACCACTGAAAAAAAAACAAGGAGAACAATAAAAAATCACAAAAATAATCAGACAACAGCATTACCAATATTGCCCCAAGTCCCCCTTTGATTCAAACGCCATTCCGCGGCTCAACAGCCCTCGGAACCACATCATCGGCATCCAGACTCTCCCTGTTCCTCTCACCAACATCCTTACCAAGTTCCTTTTGCTTCAACTCCCAGCTACCAACTCGCTCGTGTCCCGCCTTCTTGACCGGATCCTGCATCATTCCCGCACCAGCAACAGCGTCACCACCACCAACGAGAGGAGGAGGAAGAGGAGGAGGAGGAGCATCTGTAACCGGCATCGCAGCACCGTTCTGCGCAAGCGCCAAATCCGGGTCTGACGCCATTTTCGCGGAGCCCTTGAAGCCGCCGAGTGTAGCAGTGGTAGGCTTGTTGCGCTTGAGGAAATTGAGATTGGGGGTTTGCTTGTGCACGCGGTGGAAGCGCAGACCGGCACAGAGCATGAGGAGTGCGAAGACGAGTGCTGCAACGACGAGCGTGACGACGGCGCCGATGACGCCTGCGACGGCGGGAGCGAGGGCGTTGGCTTTGGCGTTGAAGCCGCGGCGGTCATCATCATCATCATCATCGTCATCGCCTTTCTTCGGTCTCCTGCCGCCGTACGGTGCATCTGGGAAATCGGGTCTGGAGTCTTGGACGCCGGTGCAGAAAATGGTTTCGCTGCTGCACATGTCGCACCAGTGTGCCACGCCGCTTACAGCGATGGCGGCGACCAGAGGCTCGAATTCCGTCCATGGAATCTCCGTGTTGGAGGGCCCGTTGCCGAAGACGGGGTAGGCGGTGAGTTGGGGGTTGTTTTGTGCGGCGGTGGCATTGTGGAAGGAGAAGCGGACCCAGAGGGCGGATGGGTCGGTGGGGATCTGTGTGGCGTCGGTAGTGGTGGAGTTTGAGACGCTGAAGAGCTCGAAGATCATGGCGGAGCTGTAAGACGGGATAGTCCGGAAGTAGGGGGATTGCGTGTCTAGGCGGAGCAGTGCGGCGAGACTGATCATAGCGTCTTCTTCGCCAAAGTACAGGGACAGCGGTGGTGAAGGCGTGACCAAGGCGCCGTCGCTCAGGCTGAGTTGCGAGGCGATACGCGTCCGGAACGAGTTGAGCAGGGAGCCTGCGAGCGTCTTGCCGCTGATGGCTTGGTTGTTGGAGGCGCGCGCCGACGAAGACGTGTTGCCGTACACGTTCCACGCAATCTGGTCGGCGAGATAGCCCAGCTGGGCGTAGACACCCGTGAGGTTGGTGTTGTTGGCGGACAGAAGCTCAAACATGGTCGAGTTGTGTGCATACTGGTACGACAGGTAATCATCAATTTCGATAGCAGAGCGCGCATCCCTGTTGACACAGTCAGTTTTATCTAGCATATTTCACAGCTGGGAGTGAAAAGTTCACGCACAAGAACGACTGCGGCAGTGTGCCATTGAACCAGTTCACGTCCAACTTGTCGAACAAATCCGCATTTGCCGACTCCATTGCTCTAAAGTCCTGAGAGCTAAAATAGTTCAGCGCAGCCGTTTGCGCCACAGGGCAGTTCAGCGATCCAGAGATGGATCTCGAGTCTGGGTCTGACTGGCTGGCACTCCGGATATTGGTATACTGGTATCCGCTAAAGGCATAGTCGACAGACGTTCCATCTGCAAGTTGGCCGGTGGAGCTGTTGCGAGGAGGATACAGGCCTTGCATGAAGGCCTGCGCAGACGCTATGAGATACGGCTCGTCCAGTGTCTGCACCCAGATCTGATCATTGTTTATGGTATCCACCGACAGTCCTGCAATGCGCTGGACCCCGAGCCTCTGGGGCGAGTCGCCAGCAATGTACCTGGTTCTGAAGTTCTCGCCAAGCGTGTACATTTGTTTTGCGCCAAGTGCTGTGAGTGTCTGCGGACCATTGCTGAGGAAGGGGGTTCGCTCTCCCGTGCGCACAAAGGCAAAGGCGGCATGTGTACGGTAAGTGGTGTTCTGGGAAGAAGTCTGGGCTGCGGCAACCCATGCTGAAGCCAAAGCGGCAATTGAAGTGCGCACAAACATGGTCAAGTATAGCGTGTTGGATCAGTGTGTGCCTCAACACCAGAGTATGGCGGCGGCGCTGCTGGATAGTGACAGGAACACGAGCGACGAAGCTGAACCTAGGTCACTCCCCAGGTTCCGGATGACATGTCTACTTATTCGTATTGATACCGCGCAGAAAGCTAGTTTTCTGTGCCGCTTTAATACGAACCGGCACGGAGACAAGGCCGCACGTCAGAATCACAAAGTCTTCAGCTCTTGGCTCACGAATATCGAGACTGTCTATTGGTCTGGAGTCTGGGTACGACGGAAATAAAGTTGCTGGTTCATTATGCTGACCAGAGCGGGGTACGATACCGGGCTGCACCACCTTAAGCACACATTAGCGATTCCATTTTCAAGTGAACCAAGCGTGCAGGCTTACATTGATGTACTTGGGTCCAGCCGACCTTTATAGTCGCATGCGTGAAGAATAGGGAGGTCTGCAGTTGCAAGGCGGCCAAACTAGCACGATGGAATATGCGATCATTGGCAGCGACATGTCTCTCGGAGATCGCATCTTACAACCCCTCTGTCAGACGGAGTTTATTGACGGAGTTTCTTGGGTCTTGGTTGCTGCGCCATGGAAAGTACGTAGATGCTACCCTAGTCCTGAGCTGGGTTGACCGTTGCCATGAAGCGGATGGGCGCTATACCGAATGCAGCTAGTACCCGATGCACGTCAACCCTTCTTGACGCCACCACCGACACGCTGGTCAAGGGAGAACGACAAGGCCAGGCACAGTTGAAAATACTATCCTGTATGCTGTGCAACAAGGGACTTCCTTGGACTGCATAGTACCTGCGTGTCAGCCGTGGCTTTGTGGCCGAGCGTGCACAATCTACAAGCCCCATTTTTCACATAGCGCAACGTGTGCATAAACATATCTTGTCACTGCCGGCAAACCAAGGTTGAAATAGGCTTGTCTTGCACACCATCAAGTTTGGTTGCTTGTTCGTTTGACATTAAAATATATATCTCCGCCAACAGCGGGCGGGTATTGCTACAATGGCCTTGCGATGCAGTGGGAGGCCTTGGTCTACCACGCTCAAAATGCCTACTTGGGGTCCTCCATCAAGCGACTGGAACCAGATACACCTTCGTCATCTCTTCAATCGCCATTCTACAGGCTAACCTCAACACGGCCCTCGGCACCTGGCGCACCGCCAGACTGCAGCGAAGGCAGGAGGTAGGTGATGTCATCCCAAGGATGCCTGTAAAGGCCAGTGCGCAGCCTCTTCTGGTCGAGGAAGTGAGCAATCAGACCGATACTTCGGCCGAGAACGAAGAGACCGTTGAGCACACCCATCTTCAGGTAGTCCTCAGCCTCCTCGTTGGAGAAAGCACCGCCGTTGCGGACAAGGTCAACAAAGCAGACCGCAATGCAACCGTCAACGTTGAGGATGAGGTTGTCCTTCTTGGATGTCGTTACCGACTCAACAGCAAGCGCGTAGTCGAGCAGCTTGGTGCTGGGGAAGTTCTTCTTGACGTACTCCTTGACGAGCTCGACACGAAGATCGGGGTTGTTGCGGGACTTGATTCTGTGGCCAATACCAGGGACTGCGACATGTTAGCCATTGAAACTCCGCATCTTGTCACATGCACATACTCAGCTTGTTCTCTTTCCTCATCGTGTCAACAAAGTCACGAGGGCTGAGACCCTTGTCAAAAGCCTTGCTAAACTCCTCAGCAGCGCCGTCGAGCGCACCACCAAAGCGCGATCCAATGGTCAGAAGACCAGAGACCAAGGCACTAATGAGATCCTTGCCAGCACGAGTGGTAATGATCGTGTTCATGGCGCCCGAGACAGCCGGACCGTGGTCGGCAGTCAACATGAGCACCATCTCGAGGAAACGGCTAGCGTAGTTGGGCAGGCGGCGGCGGAACCAAAGCAGCGACATGACACCACCGATACCAATCTCCTCCTTGAAAACGTCGGAGATGGGCATGCCGGCGTACAGAAGCTCCTGGCCACGGTCGTCGGAAATGGTCGAAATGAAAGCGGCAGGCTTTCGGATGAGACCCAGCTCCTGTGCCCATGAGTAGTCAATGGGGATCTTGGGAACGTTGGGCTCGGGCCTGGGCACAATGGTGCCGTCCTTGACCAGCTTCTGGTAGACCTGGGCAAGCGTCTCGGGCATCTCCTCAAACGTCTCTGGGACGTAGATGCCGGCTTCCCTCATGGTCTTGTTCTTGGTCGCCGCAGTCTCGAGCTGAGAGTTGGCAAACGAACCAGCGTGGCCGAATTGGACCTCGGTCTTGAGCATACCAGCAACGGTACCAATGGCCCATGCAACAATGGGCTTGGTCACCTGGCCAGACTTGACAGCGTCAATGACGCGGTACTCCTCAACACCACCGACCTCACCGAGCAGCACAATGACCTTGCAGTCGGGGTCCGACTGGTATCGGAGAACGTGGTCAATGAACGTGGTACCAGGGTACCGGTCACCACCAATGGCAACACCCTCGAGCACACCGTCGGTGGTGTTGGCAATGATGTTGTTCAGCTCGTTGGACATACCTCCAGACTTGGACACGTAGGAAACGGAGCCGGGGCGGTACAGCTTCGAGGCAACAATGTTGTCCATCATACCACCAGTGTTTCCAATCTTGAACGCACCGGGCTTGATGCCACCAACGGTGGCGGGGCCAATGATGGTGATGCCCTTCTTCTGGGCAACGTGGAGAATCTCACGGGCACGCTAGATCACGTCAGTCTTTTGTGCCCGTAGTAATGCGGGGCAGGGCGGCTGCTTACGCGCTCGGGGACACCCTCAGCAATAATGGCAATGCACTTGATCTGGGGGAATTCCATCAACTCCATGGTGGATTGGTAGACGGAACGCGACGAGGCAAAGTTGACGACTGTGTCAACGTCGCTGTGCTTGCCAACGGCCTTTTCGACGGTCTGGTACACAGGCAGCAGCGTCTCGCTGGTTCCCCAGTACCTGATGATTACTGTCAGTCAATGGCCATGCAATGTCGATTGTGGTTGCTTGGCACGCACATTTTGCTGACGAATTGACCGCCGAATGTGTAGATGATACCGGCGACCGAGGGCGTCTTGCGCTTGCAGATGAAGTCGAAGTCGAGCATGCCCTGCACGGCACGGGGCTGCAGTCCGCTGTTGACATGTTGTTAGTCGCGTGCCCTGCTGCAGCCTTTGTGGCGGGGTGTGTGTGTCTGTGTGTATCTTACTAGACGAAGCATCGTGTCTTTGGGTGGAAGAGTGTGTGGGCGGCCGGCGGGCTCATTGGCCTCGAGGGCGCGGCGAAGCGACGGATGTTGTCGTTGGCGGAGAGGCCATCGCTCCCGCTGGGTGGCGCTGTAGAGGGCATCGTGGCCGTGTGTGTGTGTGCGTGGGTGAAGCTGCAGTGTGGTTCTGGGTGGGAGAAGAGAGTCAGTAAGGCCCGGCTTCTTGTAAGTGGTGCAGCTGCAGGCAGGCAGGCAAGCGGTGCAGGCGGGCTGGGGGGACAAAGGGAAGGGAGGGGAGGGGAGGGGAGGGGGAATTGCAAGGGAGGGACGAAGGGCAGGAGAAAAAAATGCACCGACAAGCTCGCAGGGCCAGGCACGCGGAATGGGGCGGGCTGGAGGGTGGGATGGAGCTGGAGCGGAGTCGGCGACGGCCAGAAGAGGGACGGCTCACCTTATGGGTGCAATGCCGGGGCGTCAGGCAGCGCAGGAGACGGAGTTTGACAATTGGGGAGAAGAGGGCGAGGAGGGAACAGCGAATCTTTCCGAAGTTTGGGCGCCCGCTGCTGGCGGTGTTGAGCTGGAGAATCCCTGCACAAACTAATTCGCTGCGGCGCTAGGCCCAGTTCCCGAGCGGTGAACGGGACCGAATGTCTTGCACCGCACGCAGCCAACGCCGCGCCTCGGGATT